CCACACACTGTCGAACGCGCCACAAACAATAACCGAGGCAAGTGTTGCACGTAATCAACTGAAGCCAAATCAAAATAGTTGCAGAAATTCAATTTCAATTCCATTCAATATGCAGCAAATACCAAGCAGAGAGATGGTGAAAGAGAGAGAGGAAGAGCGAGCGAGAGGCAGACAGACAGAGCTGAGCTTATTAAAGGTTGCTGATGTCTGGCATTTCATCATTATCGATAGCTAGAAATATTTTCAACAAGAATTTCGCATTGGTATTTATTCAGGCTCGAACTGAAATTTCAATAGATAGTTTCGAGGAATTCAATAATAACATGAACTATGACTAAAATTAACGGTAATAATAATGAGCAGAAAATGTAAATGTAATAGAGAGCAGCAGCTAAAAGGTGTGAATAACGGCAGTTCGCCGAGAAACGAGCTTGAGTGACACGCATCGACAGGCGTCAATCCAGATCAGGCGACGCCTCTCAATGACGCCTCCAGCTGAGAATAGCTGACATGGGACATTCTGTGGGCAGCTGGTTTAATTTTAATTATGGACAGACCTGGACAGAGAGACATGCATAGATGTGTGTATATACATGTATGTATGTATGTGCCTGACTGGGTGGACGGACAACTGGGCCAGTTGCCAAGACTTTGACGCTTACAGCATGTTATTGGGTTTGTCGAACAGCAGCCTGGAGATGACAGCATCTAGATTGTCTTGTTGCTGCTGTTGTTGTTGTAACCAAAGCCTGATGTACGATGCCGTCGGGTCACTTTTGATTAATGATGCACGTGCCATGTGTCGCATTCAAATTTAATGCAGCTGGACTAACTAATTAAAATACCTTTTCAGCCAGGGTTTTTGTATGCGTTAAGCGCATTTCAACTCCATAAATCAACGCGCTTTTGCCTGTCCCGAAGCATAAATGGCCATTTGTATGGGCCCATTTGTCGAGCGCTCCGGCTGTATAATTGTGCAGCCAGGCAGGTAAATTCGTTAACTGCTCCGGCTCAGTGAGTTTTAAATATATGTACAAAATTTACTGATTATACCAGGCGTGTTGTCAAGATACCACTTATCAATTACATAAAAAAAAGAAAATTAAGGAATATAAAAGTTAATTCCGAGAAAAGAAATCAATTTACAAATGTCACTGAGTGTCTGAGGCATTTACCGATTTCCAACGAAATCATTTAGCTCGTTTCTCTTCATTTTGCCAAGTAGCTACGATGAATTCACGGCAGAGAATAGAGCCGGATAGCTATTCAAATGACTTCTTCTCACCTCAACTTGTGCAGGTGTTGAGGAAAATGCTTTAAGCCTTGGCTAGTACTGGCTAGAGCTGAAAATTGCAATTGGGGAAAACTTTGTTTTTACACGTGCGCCCCGGCGACGTGTTGAGGGGGCGGGGCCAAAGAGGACTTCAGTGCCGGCTGGTGACCGGCGCCAACTGTAATTACTTTGCAGTCCGGCATAAAAATGAAACGAAATAAAAAACAAAAGGAATGTAGAGAGAAAGAGGGATTGAGAGAGGGAGAGAGCGACATTAGAGAGAGGCTAAAAGTACTGAGGGAGCGAGGAGAGAGGCAAGGGCGTGAAAGGCGTGGAGAGAAATCATAAAACACAAAAAGTTTCCGCCTGTTGTTATGCAAATTTATTTTGTTTCACAAACTTGGCAGCATTCCGAGCGTAGGCATTAAAGTACAGTTATTAACGGTTAATATGCGGTCGTTCGCCATTTTGGTTAGGTGCGGCCAGCGCGAAAAACTTTTCAATGGTCCTCGCAATGCGAAAAACTGCACTTGACATCAAACACAGCCCGAGCTCCGCGTCTGTCCCATTGTCGAGCTTTTCACTCGGTTCCCTTCATTTTTTTTACCACATTCATGTCGCCATTTGGCATTATATTGGTGAGGGCGGGGTCGGGGGTCCAAATTGTGGGCGTTGTTTGCCACCAAGTTGGATGCAACTTTCGCATTGTATGTGGCTTTGCAAACTTTGAGCTGCGATTGGGTCCCTGATCTGCCACTCGCCAAACGCCACTCAGCCTATTGGTTCGCATCTGTGCAGCGCAGACAGCAGACAGTAGACAGTGGCGGGTTGAGGGTAGAGGGTAGGCGGAGCACTCTTTGTGGTCTTTTGGCTTGGAGAAGAATCAAGTTCCCTTAAGTGCCATTTGTAGTTGGACATACGAAATGGTAAATAGTTTCAAGGCAGCGCCGGCACAAGTGCGCAATTTCCAATTGCCTTTTTATTATATTTACCAACTCGGCTCGGGACGCCGTTACATCGCCGCCAACTTGTCAGGCAACAAGCGAATAAATTGTGTTATCCGCATTCCGGGCCACAACTTAATGAAATGTTTGACTGCGGAAATCCCAATTAAACTTGAACAATTAGTTCGCCAGATCTGGAGCAATTACATTAAAGTTTACCGAGGCGTATGCTTGATTCTAATGAGGATAATAAATATTAAAGAAATCTTTCTTTCTTTCTTATAAAAAAAAAATAGTTTTAGTTTCCAAATCAATTCCGTGTGCTCTTGAAAACATTTATAAAATCATATAAAATGAAAATGTACAGATCTAAAATTTTTTCTAGTCAAAACTGATTAATTTTTTTATTTAAAAAAAAAAAAAAAAAAAAAAAAAAAAGAAAAACATTAAAAAAAATTAAAATAAAAAAAAATAAATAAAAATAAAAAATAAATAAATAGTAATAATTATAATAATGATTTTTTTTCATAGAAGTGTCTCTTTCAGTAGTATAATTTTTAAAGCTTTCAAAAATGTCAAGCTTACTTAGTAGAGCTGCATATTTTTTAGAGATATAAAAATAACATGGGATGCATAAGCTTAGGGAAAGAAAGAGATTGAGGGCGTGGTTGGCAAAGTTAAAGCTTCTGAGATAATTTATACAGACGACGTCACGTCTAGCTCTTCACCTAGCTCTGGTTTAGTAGAGACTTGAGTTTATTTTCACAATTAATAAAGAGATTCGCCATGCGTTGGCAAATCACCTTTCTATGCTGCCATATGATTAAGAGAATTCTTTATGGGCCTCACTTCAGTCTGTAGCACTTTCATTCAAAGCGCGTGCCAGCATAGGCTTGGATAGGAGCATCAATTGGTCGACAGCGTGGCGCCGTCATTCGATTTGATTTATGCCGAATGACACTTTGGGGCTGCCGTCATGTCGTTAATGAGATGCAAATGCTCTAACCGCATTTTATTTATGAAACGCAAATTGTCACGCGCCGTGCTGAGGCCTGTTGCGGCCGTAAGAAAATACGCGCAAGTTGCAAACCTTAATTCACAAATTGCGTATACGCACGGGTGCCGCATGTGTTTAAGCGCCGCCCAGGCCTAAATATGCGGGCATGTATGTCACTGAGCTTTACAAATACACACACGCACAACAAAGTGCTTTCTTGTGTGTGTGTGTGTGTGTGTGTGCATGGGGCCTCTGTGCGTCGAGCTGATAAATAAATGTTGCACGCAAGTCGCTGTAAAGATTATCATTTATAAAGAGCATAAGGGCTACGAAACCCGCGTGGCACTCGGACCGCCAGAGAGCCGGATAGTCCGAAAGAGAGAGAGAGAGAGAGAGAGAGGTGAAAGGCGACAAGCTTGTAGCAAGTGAAGCCATACGTAGGTGCACGCTTGGGCACACTTCAGGCTCGATGGCTCGCCGCTTTTTTTTACGCGTACGTGGGCACATTTGACCGTTGGGTCGACGTGCCGTATACGTAATGTGCCCACGCACGCACACATACACACACACACACATGGACATGGATATGGACGACATTGAAAACATGCGTGTGTGCCTGTTTGTATAGGTAGTGACATGTCATGTGCGCTCATTTCTTTCCTCTTCTTCATTATTTTTATTCTTTCTTTTTTTCTTTTTTTTTTGGCTTTGTCAACGACTATTTAGTGCAGAAAATGCGTAAATTATTTACATAGGGCAATGCTGTAAAAGCATTTAGTGCTGGGAGCAAGCAGCGGCCATGCCCACCCATCCGATGATGATGCTGATGGTGGTCGACAGCAAATGACATGGCAAGGTCGTCAGCAAGGTCGCATCTTTCATGCTTGTGGCACGCGCTGTACAATTGGTCAGCCGGGCAGCTGGACAGCCAGCCCTGGGGCGGACTGAAAATCTTAATTAAACCATAAAAATTAAAGATTTATGAAATGATTTTTCAGTCGACTGCAATCGCCGTGCAGCAGCAGCGCAAGGGACAGATGCGAATAAAATGCTTGACAATAAAGCCAACTTAGCTCGGAAGCCACCAGCCGCCTGCCGCCTGCCGCCTGCCGCCCCACTGTCAGACAATTTAAAGCCACTTGATTTGGTGTGCGTGCCTAATGCTTGGATTCTCTGGCCGGGACTCAAGCGTTTGGTAATCCAAGCCTCTTGTGCGCTTGCCACTCGACGTTTTAGCTATTCATTAGTGCGCTCGGTGGGTTAACGTTGAATAGTAGTTCAACTAGAGACACCAGGCCGTCCTACACTACCGACACTACCGACACTACCGAACAACCTCAGCACCCCACCACCCGACCGACCGACCAGTCGTTCAGTTAGCTGAGTCAGGCTTACCGCAAATAATAAAATTTCTGCGTGGTAGGCAGTCGTAGAGAACGTGAAACAGGCAGGAGCGGGCGGGAGCGAGCGGCTGGAAGCTCTAAAGACCAAACGAGCCACTTGAATGTATTGCCGCCTTGCCCCGCACACACTGGGCCCCACAAGAGTATTCCGTTTGCACATATATAACAAAATATTAATGACTGTTAGGGCTTTCCCTTTTACTTCAAGTGAATTTCAAGCAGATGACCATTTAAAAGATTTGCGTACTGTACTTAGGTCAGATTCAAAGCAGGCTCCAACGAGATTTCGTAGCATTTTAAATGGTTTATTTGAACAGCCAGAGTACCCTAATTGCTGTACTCACTTTCTGAAATCCTCTATCTGCTTATCCCTTATCTTGCAGGTGAGCGACTCATACAATATGCCAGCGAGAACCTAGTGACGGAGGTGCTCATACATCCGCAATACAATACGCTTATACAATGCATGCGTAATCTACTCAGTAGTTTTACGAGGCATCGGCATATTATACACGCTGGCTACACCTTTAGCGGCAACGGTTCTTGGATCCTACAGGTTAGCCAGCACCCGCCCGGGAAGACTAAGATGCCAATGCTAATGTGATTTTACCTTCTGCTTTTCAGGATGGCACCTTCTCGGTGGCTGACTTTGCGGAGGCATTTCAAGAGCACGACGTACAAAGGGTGATACGTGCCTATGCGGACACCATAACGATGAATATACACTGTGCTGACGCTGGTCTATGGCACACATTGCCGGATAAGGTATTTTCGCGACAGTGTAAAATACGCATCAATCCGGTGGATGTCCTGGACACCAGTAGCGAGTCCATCAATGGCTTTATAGGTACCACTTAACGCCAAGTAAACTTCATATTCGAATGGAGCGCACTGACCTTTCATTTTTTATAGATTATCTAGCGCCAATGGTGGTGCCAACGTCACTGCGTGAGCTGCTGGAGACGTCGGATGTGGTGGGCAATATACGCTTCACACACCCAACGCTCTATGTGTTTCCCGGGGGCCAGGGCGATGCCGCTCTCTTTGGCATCAACGGCTTTAATATGCTAGGTAAATAATGAGTTATGGGAGATGAAAAGAAAAGATTCCTGAGTAATTTCTGTGATTTTGCAGTTGATGGCGGCTTCAATCGAAAGGCCTGCTTCTGGGACTTTGCACGGCATTTGGACCGGCTGGATGCGGTGCTGATGACGCGCCTGAACAACAGCAATGTGCAGGGACTTGGGGCTGTGGTGTCACGCAAGCGGGACTCTCATGTCTATCCACAGATTGGGCATTTCTTTGGCAATGTTCCCGATCGGAAGGGTGGACTGCCCAGTCCTGATGGCGACAAGGACCGTAATCCACTGCTGATCGATCTCTTTGAGCGCGGTCACGCCTTGGTTAACGATCTCAAGTCGCTTGACCTCAAGCCGCAGTGCTGCTATCGCAATCAAGAGCCTATAAATCTCTACCACAAGGTTGGTCACGGCACCCTGGATATGTATGTGATAAGTCCCTCACGGGACTCCAAAGAGGTCAAAGAGTTTCTACAAAAATGGAATTCCGGGGATCAGCGCCTCTTCACCGCGCGCGACACCAAGGAGTTTAACTTCCCCCTGCAGAATTTGGTATCCATTTGCGCGCTGCTTGTCTGGCAACCGGCTAACCCGGATGATACCATTACGCGTATCCTCTTCCCGGGCAGCACACCCGACTTTAAGATCCAGGAGGGTCTGGAGAAGCTCAAGCATCTCGAGTTCATGAAGCACTCCACTTGCACAGCCAAGTCAATAGCTCCAGCTATACAAACAGTGACAAGTACCAGAAAGACACTAAAATCAGCCATTGAAGGCACGCCACCCAGCGCTAGCTACAAGCCCAGTAAATTTGGTCCAACTGCCATAGCAGCCGTGGCTGTGCAGCAGGACAACAAGGCAAAGGAAGCTAAGGAAGCAGCAGCAGCGGCAGCAGCAGCAGCTGCCGCAGCAACCGCTGCAGCTGCAACTGCTTTGGAAACACCTGGCGATCAAGTGGAACGACCCACGCCGCTTTTGAGTGCTAAGGCGGACTCCATAGACACGGATGAGCCAGACGCTGAGCCTGAACCGGAGCTCGCTATCGACACCGGTGACGAGGGCGCGCCAGAGCCTTCCGTTCCCTCCACGGAGCCAGCTGAGCACGAGGACAACAAGGACACTGATGAGGAGAAAAAGGTGGAAGTGTTGATTGTCAAGCCACAGCCGGCAGCTGCGCCTGTCAAGGACGCAGTCGATGCAACCGCCACAGAAGCTAGCAGCAAGACAGCAAAGGCCGCCAAGGGCAAGCCGGACAAGCCTCGAGCGGAAGTCAAGCCAGTTGTACGCTCTAGAATTGACAGCAAGCCGCCAAAATCTATGGACCGCAAGCTGGTGAAGCGTGAGGACAAAAAGAGCTCGCCTACGGCCACGCCAGCTGTAAGCCGAGCACCAGCTACGCGGGATGTCAAGCCTAAGGTAATGACACGCACCACCAAGTCGAGTCCCAGCAGCACACCTGCCAAGAGCGCCAAGGAGGCCAACAACCGCAAGGTGCTTGAGTCCAAGCAACAGGCGACCGCGGCTCGGCAGAGCACAGCCAGCACACGTCGCACTGTTGGCACCATGGAGAAAAGGTCAGTGACGGAGACGAAGACAACGCAGCAATCAACGATGCAAGCAGCGCAGCGCAAGCCCATCTCCCGAAGGCCACGAGGGGTCTCTCCTTCCAAGCGAGCTCCGGCCCCTGGCAGTCCCATTAAGTCAGCTAAGCCAAAACCTGATTTGAAGAAATCACGACTGGATAAGGGTGGTACCACAGACTCCAGCTTGGTGTCCACACCGTCCGCAGATGAGGCGACAGCAGCCAAAAAGATGTTAGATCTAAGTGCCTCACAAGAGCTAGATGCTGAAAAGCAACGGGAATTGGATGACCTCAAAGAGGAACAGGAAGTTGTGCGAGAAATTGAGGCAGTTTTCAGTCGCGACGAGATGAAACGGCAACACTTGATCAAAGCGGAGCTGCGTGAGATGGCGAAGCAGGACAGCACAACGGAGGCCGAGGAAGAGGAGGAATATTTAATTATTGAAAAGGAAGAGGTAGAACAGTATACAGAGGACTCAATTATTGAGCAAGAGCAGGAGAGCAGCATGACTAAGGAGGAAGAAATTCAAAAGCATCAGCGTGACTCGCAGGAGTCAGAAAAGAAGCGCAAGAAAAGTGCAGAGGAGGAAATCGAAGCCGCCATCGCAAAGGCTGAAGCCGAGGAGCGTAAGGCTCGTCTGGAGAGTAGTGAAGCAGCCAGGCATGAGCCGCATGAACAGTTACACAGCCCTGAGAAAACGGAAATCAAGGCTGAGGTTCAAGAGATCTTATCCACTGCCAAGGACATTGTCAAGTCTCGCACTGAAGAACTGCCCCAGGGCAAGCATGCTGAAGAAGAATTCTCTTCCCCTACTCCTGATGATAAGCTCAGTAGCGCCAAGAAAACTTCTGATACTAAGGACGAGCTGATTGAAGCTCCTGAGCTGCCGCCCATTAACTTGCAAGAAAGTCTTCCAGAGGAAAAATTCTCAGCTACAATCGAATCCGGAGCTACCACAGCTCCTACCCTACCAGAAGATGAACGCATTCCATTGGACAAGATTAAGGAAGACTTGGTCATTGAGGAGAAATATGTCAAAGAAGAAACCAAGGAAATCGAATCGATTGTTGTGGCTACCGTTGCAGTGCCTGTCGCAGCAACGACAGCGGCCTCCATTATCACGCCAACCGAAACTAAAATAGTGGTTGGTACTGAGCCGCTTGCCGCTGGTATGGATTCTGCAGAGAGAGTCTTACCCAAGAAAATGACATTTGAGGCACAGCAGAATCTAATGCGAGATGTTATAAAAACACCTGATGAGGTGGCAGACTTGCCCGTACATGAGGAAGCTGATCTTGGCCTATATGAAAAAGACACACATGAAGCAGGATCCAAGAGTATTTCGCATAAAGAAGAAACAGCCAAAGAAGAAAAAGAAACCGAAGATGAAAAAGTTGTCAAAGATATTGATGTGGAAGAGGCAGCCGAACATATTCCTGAGCCCGAGATTATTGCGAAGACAGAGGACACTACTAAGATAGAATTAGACGGAAAAATTGCGGTCCCCATAATTCAAAAAACCGATATTAGTGAAACAATTCCTGACAAGGATAAAGTGGTGATAGCCCAGGAGCAACCAGGCGAAAGAATCGACAAGAAGCTGGCCAGTACACCAGATGAAAAAGAAACTAGCGATATAACTTCCGAAGATGAATTGCCAGCACATCCTATCCAACCTACAGCTGTACCGACAAAAGTAAAGGATCGTGAAGACACAGTATCTCTAGAAAGCCCTGCAACAATTGAAGAAGCCATTGAGGTTGAAGTGAAAATATCGAAGAAGGAACTCCATGACGTGGAAATAACAAAGAAGGAAGTCCATGATAGCACAGGTGACCAAAAGAAAGAAACAACTAGAGTATCACCAACTATCAAACAAGCTAAGGCAGCAATAGAACTAAGCCAGCAAAAGAATTTACAAGATGAAGAGATTTCTCCTCTAAAAGACTTAGAGAAACTAGAGATCTCAAAAGATGAAGTAATTTCAACAGAGCAGTCCCGTCGCGAATCCATTCAAGAAGGTACGAAGCCAGAAAACTTTAAAGGCGACAAGTCTTTACCAGCCTCTACGGAAGCATCAAGACCTGAATCAGTAGCCGACAGTGTGAAAGGTGAACATGTGAAACTTGAAAGCGTCGACGAAAAGGCAACCAAACCATCTGAGCGAGAATCCATTGCAGAGAGTATTAAGCCAGAAAGCCAACCTGTCTCTCTGGAGCCATCACGACCACATTCCGTGGCAGAAAATGCAAAAGATGATCACGAAAAACCCGATAGTCCTAAGGATGAGCAGTCTGCAGAGCCTTCGAGACGGGAATCAGTTGCGGAGAGCTCAAAACCTGAAGGCTTAAAAGATGAAAAGTCTTCACCTCTTTCTAAAGAAGCATCACGACCAGGCTCTGTATCCGAAAGTGTAAAAGATGAGAAGGCAGAAAGTGTTAAGAACGAGAAGTCTGCAGAGCCCTCCAGGAGGGAATCCGTTGCGGAGAGTACTAAACCCGATAGCCTCAAAGATGACAAGTCACTTCCTGCCTCCAAAGAGCCATCAAGACCTGAGTCTGTCGCTGAAAGTGTGAAAGATGAGCACGACAAACCAGAAAGCGTTAAGGATGATAAGTCTGGAGAGCCTTCCAGGAGAGAATCCGTTGCGGAGAGCACTAAGCCCGAGAGTTTGAAGGACGACAAATCCGTTCCTGCCTCCAAAGAGCCATCAAGACCTCACTCTGTCACCGAAAGTGTGAAAGACGAGCACGAGAAGCCAGAAAGTGTTAGGGACGATAAATCTGGAGAGCCTTCAAGACGAGAATCCGTTGCAGAGAGTACTAAACCCGATAGCCTCAAAGATGACAAGTCACTTCCTGCCTCCAAAGAGCCATCAAGACCTGAGTCTGTCGCTGAAAGTGTGAAAGACGAGCACGAGAAACAAGAAAGCGTTAAGGATGAAAAGTCTGGAGAGCCTTCCAGGAGAGAATCCGTTGCGGAAAGTACTAAGCCCGAGAGTTTGAAGGACAACAAATCGCTGCCTGTCTCCAAAGAACCTTCCCGCCCAGCCTCTGCTGTTGAGAGTGTGAAAGACGAGCATGAGAAACCAGAAAGTGTTAAAGACGAGAGGTCTGGAGAGCCTTCCAGGAGAGAATCCGTTGCGGAGAGTACTAAACCCGATGGCCTCAAAGATGAAAAGTCCCATCCTGCCTCCAAAGAGCCATCAAGACCTGAGTCTGTCGCCGAAAGCGTAAAAGACGATCATGAGAAACCAGAAAGTGTTAAGGATGAAAAGTCCGAAGAGCCTTCGAGACGAGAATCCGTTGCAGAGACTACTAAGGCAGAGATTTTGAAGGACGACAAATCGCTGCCCATCTCCAAAGAGCCTTCCCGCTCAAGTTCTGTTGCTGAAAGTGTGAAAGACGAGCATATGAAGCCAGAAAGTGCTAGGGATGAAAAGTCTGGAGAGCCTTCCAAGAGAGAACCCGTTGCGGAAAGTATTAAGCTCGACAGCTTGAAAGATGACGAGTCTCTGTCAGTCTCCAAGGAACCATCACGCCCGGGCTCTGTGGTAGAAAGTGTTAAAGACGAGCATGAGAAGCCAGAAATTGTTAAGGACGAGAAGTCTGGAGAGCCTTCCAGGAGAGAATCCGTTGTGGAGAGTACTAAACCCGATAGCCTCAAAGATGGCAAGTCACTTCCTGCCTCCAAAGAGCCATCAAGACCTGAGTCTGTCGCTGAAAGTGTGAAAGATGAGCATGAGAAACCAGAAAGCGTTAAGGATGAAAAGTCTGGAGAGCCTTCCAGGAGAGAATCCGTTGCGGAGAGTACTAAACCCGATAGCCTCAAAGATGACAAGTCACTTCCTGCCTCTAAAGAGCCATCAAGACCTGAGTCAGTCGCTGAAAGTGTGAAATATGAGCATGAGAAACCAGAAAGCGTTAAGGACGAGAAGTCTGGAGAGCCTTCCAGGAGAGAATCCGTTGCGGAAAGTATTAAGCCCGAAAGCTTGAAAGATGGTAAATCTCTGCCAGTCTCCAAAGAGCCTTCCCGCCCAAGTTCTGTTGCTGAAAGTGTGAAAGACGAGCATGAGAAGCCAGAAAGTGCTAGGGATGAAAAGTCTGGAGAGCCTTCCAGGAGAGAATCCGTTGCAGAAAGTATTAAGCCCGACAGCTTGAAAGATGACAAGTCTCTGCCAGTCTCCAAGGAACCATCACGCCCAGGCTCTGTGGTAGAAAGTGTTAAAGACGAGAATGAGAAGCCAAAAATTGTTAAAGACGAGAAGTCTGGAGAGCCTTCCAGGAGAGAATCCGTTGCGGAGAGTACTAAACCCGATAGCCTCAAAGATGACAAGTCACTTCCTGCCTCCAAAGAGCCATCAAGACCTGAGTCTGTCGCTGAAAGTGTGAAAGATGAGCATGAGAAACCAGAAAGCGTTAAGGACGAGAAGTCTGGAGAGCCTTCCAGGAGAGAATCCGTTGCGGGGAGTACTAAACCCGATAGCCTCAAAGATGACAAGTCACTTCCTGCCTCCAAAGAGCCATCAAGACCTGAGTCTGTCGCTGAAAGTGTGAAAGATGAGCATGAGAAACCAGAAAGCGTTAAGGACGAGAAGTCTGGAGAGCCTTCCAGGAGAGAATCCGTTGCGGAAAGTATTAAGCCCGAAAGCTTGAAAGATGGCAAATCTCTGTCAGTCTCTAAAGAGCCTTCCCGCCCAAGTTCTGTTGCTGAAAGTGTGAAAGACGAGCATGAGAAGCCAGAAAGTATTAGGGATGAAAAGTCTGGAGAGCCTTCCAGGAGAGAATCCGTTGCAGAAAGTATTAAGCCCGACAGCTTGAAAGATGACAAGTCTCTGTCAGTCTCCAAGGAACCATCACGGCCGGGCTCTGTGGTAGAAAGTGTGAAAGATGAGCATGAGAAACCAGAAAGTGTTAAGGACGAGAAGTCTGCAGAGCCCTCCAGGAGCGAATCCGTTGTGGAGAGTACTAAACCCGATAGCCTCAAAGATGACAAGTCACTTCCTGCCTCCAAAGAGCCATCAAGACCTGAGTCTGTCGCTGAAAGTGTGAAAGATGAGCATGAGAAACCAGAAAGCGTTAAGGATGAAAAGTCTGGAGAGCCTTCGAGAAGAGAGTCCGTTGCTGAGAGTACTAAGGCCGAGAGTGTGAAGGACGACAAATCGCTGCCCGTCTCCAAAGAACATTCCCGACCAGCCTCTGCTGTTGAAAGTGCGAAAGACGAGCACGAGCAACCAGAAAGCGTTAGGGACGAAAAGTCAGGAAAGCCCTCCAGGAGAGAGTCCGTTGCGGAAAGTGTTAAACCCGACAGCTTGAAAGATGAAAAGTCTCTACCCGTCTCCAAAGATCCTTCCCGCCCTGGCTCTGCTGTTGAAAGTGTGACAGACGAGCACGAGAAGCCAGAAAGTGTTAAAGGCGATAAGTCTGAAGAACCTTCCAGGAGAGAATCCGTTGCGGAGAGTACTAAACCCGACAGCTTGAAAGATGACAAGTCCCTTCCGGCCTCCAAAGAGCCATCAAGACCTGAGTCTGTCGCTGAAAGTGTGAAAGATGAGCACGACAAACCAGAAAGCGTTAAGGATGATAAGTCTGGAGAGCCTTCCAGGAGAGAATCCGTTGCGGAGAGTATTAAACCCTACAGCTTGAAAGATGACAAGTCACTTCCTGCCTCCAAAGAGCCATCAAGACCTGAGTCTGTCGCTGAAAGTGTGAAAGATGAGCATGAGAAACCAGAAAGCGTTAAGGATGAAAAGTCTGGAGAGCCTTCGAGAAGAGAGTCCGTTGCTGAGAGTACTAAGGCCGAGAGTGTGAAGGACGACAAATCGCTTTCCGTCTCCAAGGAACCTTCCCGACCAGCCTCTGCTGTTGAAAGTGTGAAAGACGAGCATGAGAAACCAGAAAGCGTTAAGGATGAAAAGTCTGGAGAGCCTTCAAGAAGAGAGTCCGTTGCTGAGAGTACTAAGGCCGAGAGTTTGAAGGACGACAAATCACTGCCTGTCTCCAAAGAACCTTCTCGTCCAGGCTCTGCTGTTGAAAGTGTGAAAGAAGAGCATGAGAAGCCTGAAATTGTTAACGATGATAAATCTGGAGAGCCTTCGAGACGAGAATCCGTTGCGGAAAGTGTTAAGCCCGAGAGTTTGAAGGACGACAAATCACTGCCTGTCTCCAAAGAACCTTCCCGCCCAGCCTCTGCTGTTGAAAGTGTGAAAGATGAGCATGAGAAACCAGAAAGCGTTAGGGACGAGAAGTCTGGAGAGCCTTCCAGGAGAGAATCTGCGGCAGAAAGTGTAAAACCCGAGAGTTTGAAAGATGACAAATCGCTGCCTGTCTCTAAAGAACCTTCCCGCCCTGACTCTGCTGTTGAAAGTGTAAAAGACGAGCATGAGAAACCAGAAAGCGTGAAGGATGAAAAGTCTGGAGAGCCTTCCAGGAGAGAATCCGTTGTTGATAGTATTAAGCCCGACAGCTTGCCCGTCTCCAAAGAACCTTCCCGCCCTGGCTCTGCTGTTGAGAGTGTGAAAGACGAGCACGAGAAGCCAGAAAGTGTTAAGGATGAAAAGTCTGGAGAGCCCTCCAGAAGAGAGTCCGTTGCGGAAAGTGTTAAACCCGGCAGCTTAAAAGATGAAAAGTCTCTACCCGTCTCCAAAGAACCTTCCCGCCCTGGCTCTGCTGTTGAGAGTGTGAAAGACGAGCATGAGAAACCAGAAAGTGTTAAGGGCGAAAAGTCTGGAGAGCCCTCCAGGAGAGAGTCCGTTGCGGAAAGTGTTAAACCCGACAGCTCGAAAGATGAGAAGTCCTTGCCCGTCTCCAAAGAACCTTCCCGCCCTGGCTCTGCTGTTGAGAGTGTGAAAGACGAGCACGAGAAGCCAGAAAGTGTTAAGGGCGAAAAGTCTGGAGAGCCCTCTAGGAGAGAGTCCGTTGCGGAAAGTGTTAAACCCGACAGCTCGAAAGATGAAAAGTCTCTGCCCATCTCCAAAGAACCTTCCCGCCCTGGCTCTGCTGTTGAAAGTGTGAAAGACGAGCACGAAACGCCAGAAAGTGTTAAGGACGAAAAGTCTGGAGAGCCCTCCAGGAGAGAATCCGTTGCGGAAAGTATTAAGCCCGACAGCTCGAAAGATGAAAAGTCGCTACCAGTCTCCAAGGAACCATCAAGGCCGGGCTCTGTGGTAGAAAGTGTGAAAGATGAGCATGAGAAGCAAGAAAGTGTTGAAGGTGATAAGTCTGAAAAACCTTCCAGAAGAGAATCCGTTGCGGAAAGTATTAAACCCGACAGTTTTAGAGATGAAAAGTCTATCCCTGTCTCCAAAGAACCTTCCCGCCCTGGCTCTGCTGTTGAAAGTGTGAAAGACGAGCATGAGAAGCCAGAAAGTGTTAAGGACGAAAAGTCTGGAGAGCCCTCCAGGAGAGAGTCCGTTGTGGAAAGTGTTAAACCCGACAGCTCAAAAGATGAGAAGTCCTTGCCCGTTTCCAAAGAACCTTCCCGCCCTGGCTCTGCTGTTGAAAGTGTGAAAGACGAGCACCAGAAGCCAGAAAGTGTTAAGGACGAAAAGTCTGCACAGCCCTCCAGGAGAGAATCCGTTGCGGAAAGCATGAAACCCGACAGCTTGAAAGATGACAAGTCTCTTCCCGTCTCCAAAGAAGCATCACGACCAGGCTCTGCTGTTGAAAGTGTGAAAGACGAGCACGAGAAGCCAGAAAGTGTTAAGGATGAAAAGTCTGGAGAGCCTTCAAGAAGAGAGTCCGTTGCTGAGAGTACTAAGGCCGAGAGTTTGAAGGACGACAAATCACTGCCTGTCTCCAAAGAACCTTCTCGTCCAGGCTCTGCTGTTGAAAGTGTGAAAGAAGAGCATGAGAAGCCTGAAATTGTTAACGATGATAAATCTGGAGAACCTTCGAGACGAGAATCCGGTGCGGAAAGTGCTAAGCCCGACAGCTTGAAAGATGAAAAGTCTCTGCCCGTCTCCAAAGAACCTTCCCGCCCTGGCTCTGCTGTTGAAAGTGTGAAAGACGAGCACGAGAAACTAGAAAGCGTTAAGGGCGAAAATTCCGGAGAGCCTTCGAGAAGAGAGTCCGTTGCTGAAAGTACTAAGGCCGAGAGTGTGAAGGACGACAAATCGCTGCCCGTCTCCAAAGAACCTTCCCGCCCAGCCTCTGCTGTTGAAAGTGTGAAAGACGAGCATGAGAAACCAGAAAGTGTTAAGGACGAAAAGTCCGGAGAACCTTCAAGACGAGAATCCGTTGCGGAAAGTGCTAAACCCGACAACTTGAAAGATGAAAAGTCTCTGCCCGTCTCCAAAGAACCTTCCCGCCCTGGCTCTGCTGTTGAAAGTGTGAAAGACGTGCACGATAAGCCAGAAAGTGTTAAAGACGAAAAGTCTGGAGAGCCCTCCAGAAGAGAGTCCGTTGCGGAAAGTATTAAACCCGACAGCTTGAAAGATGACAAGTCTCTTCCCGTCTCCAAAGAAGCATCACGACCAGGCTCTGCTGTTGAAAGTGTGAAAGACGAGCACGATAAGCCAGAAAGTGTTAAGGATGAAAAGTCTGGAGAGCCCTTCAGGAGAGAATCCGTTGCAGATTGTATTAAACCTGACAGCTCGAAAGATGACAAGTCTCTTCCTGTTTCAAAGGAGACATCACGACCGGGATCCGTAGACGAAAGTGTAAAGGGTGAACAGGAACAACCTGAGGTGCTAAAAGACGACACATCCGCAGAGCCTTCGCGGCGTGAATCTGTTGCAGAAAGTACCAAAATAGAAAGTACGAAAGATGACAAGTCGCTTCCCGTATCCAAGGAACCCACACGTCCGGGCTCGGTAGTAGATAGTGTTGATCATGAAGAGCCCAAAGTAATTTCACGTCCCGAAAGTGTACAGCATGAAATAAGTTTATCTAAGGAATTCTCTGCTCAGGACTCAGTTGTCGAGACTGCTTCTTCACCTATAGATGAAGCTAAGGACTTCGTACTCGCGGATAATGTAAATAAAGATACCTTAGTCTTAAATTTAGACTCGAAGGGTGACTATCCAACACTTTCGAGCCCTATTGATGTTGCTGAGGGTGACTTCGCAGTGGCAACTTCCCTGGCACCAAAGTCGGCAGAGTCAGAAGATCAAAAGACGTCAATTCCTGTCTCGATTGGTGACACTGCATCTTCACCAATTGATGAAGCAAAAGATTTTATACCATCGGATGGTATAAAAAAAGAGACGTTCGTCCTAGCTATGGAATCAAAGAGCGACTTTCCAACCCTCTCAAGTCCTATTGATGTTGCTGAGGGTGACTTCTCAGTTTCAACAGCTAAGCCGCTTGATGATGAATCTCCCAGCAAGTCAGTATTAAACTCCAAGGAAGTATCACGACCTGAATCTGTACACGAATCTTTAGCTGAAAGTCCAAAGGCAGACGATATTACTGATTCGACTGTCAAAAAACCAGAAAATGACAAAGACAAAAAGTCTGCTACTTCTTCCCGAAGTGGATCTATTGCAGAGAGCACAAAAGTTGATGATAAGTCTCTACTGCTTACCTCAAAGGAACCATCGCGTCCAGCATCAGTGGCTGAAAGTGTGAAATCAAAGGAATCTTCCCGTCCAACTTCAGTCGCGGAAACAGTATCGTCACCAATAGATGAAGCATCAAAAGAACCTTTTTCATTAATATTGACATCTACTGAAATGAATGCAAACTATCCAACAGTGTCCAGCCCAGTAGATATTGCTGAAGGCGAGTTTTCCCACACCACATCGGGGGCGATGGAAATAGAAAAGCCTGCCGAAGACGCCACTGTGGGAGCGATACTAACGGCGTCCAGCCCAGTCGATGTGGCAGATAATATTTTAGAATCGTTTACTACTTTTGAAGAACATATCATTGAACAAATAAGCCAACCTGAATCTGATGCAATCAACTCGAGCAAAGGTACTCTAGAATCGCTAACTGATACGCTGAGTAAAAAGGCAGAGACTGTAATTGATGTAGTGAGCCAGAAACTAGAAAGCGGTAAGGAGCTAGTAGCAGAGTCACTGGAGGGATCCAAAACAGAAACTAAAGCCGAAGAACAAGTGACAGAAAATTCTACTACCAAGGGTAACTTAGACTTGAGTGGATTTTCAGAGCTTCGAGAAACGCATATTACCACAGTTGACTCACCCGAATTCACAGTAACCATATGCGAACGCGACGAGAGTATTTTGCACGATATCAAGGAAGAGGATGAGGAGCACAGATTCTCGCCACCAACCGAAAAGGGAGCCATTATACCAGAGCAACCAATGCGTCCCCTCTCGCCACGCGAAGAAGAAGTTGCCAAGATAGTCGCCGATGTAGCCAAGGTATTGAAGTCCGACAAAGATATTACTGACATTATACCAGGATTCAATGAGAAGCAATTGGAAGAAAAACTAAAAACCACTTCTGAACCTGAAACTGAGCCCACAGATGATTTAAAAACAATCACACCAGAGGCTCTTTCGAGAAAATTAAGTGCAACAAGGGACCTATCGTTGGATGAAAAGATATTGGATATCAAAATGATGAAGGTAGATATTGAGTCTGAAAAGTCATCACCAGATCAAAAGTCTGGGCCAATTTCAATTGAAGAGAAGGACAAAATTGAGCAGTCCGAAAAAGCTCAGCTCCGAGAAGGAGCTGCCAAAATGGCTGATATTGAATTAGCCAAGGATATTTCCAGGCCGGAGTCCGTAACAAGCCAGCTGGGAGCAATCGAGTCTTTAACATCCCGAACGGAGTCCATAACAAGCCAAAAAGAAGAAAAGTTGGAAGAATCGACAATTCTGTCAAGAGAAGCATCACGACCCGAATCAGTGGCTAGTTTGAAAGAGGAACTCGATCAGAAGCATGAAAAATCGCCACCACTATCTAAGGATATTTCCAGACCCGAGTCAATTGTAAGCCACGTAAGTGAGAAGGAAACTGTCAGTGTAGAGTCGCATTCCAGACGTGAGTCAGAAATGTCTGTTGCTGACGGCGTGAAAGGAGATGGATCGGTTACAGCAAGCAAAGATGCAACGCGGCCAGGATCCGCAGCCAGCCACGTCAGCGAACAGTCATCAGAGACAAAGAAAAGCCCCCACCCGGAATCGAAAGAGAAGGAGCCTGAATCTTCGCGGCCAGCATCAAGTGCCAGTCATATCAGTGCCAAGGATGAGCAGACTTCAGAGTCCCAACGCGATTCAGTACTGATATCGACACTCGAAACCAAAAAGGAGGAAAAATCAAGCGAATCAACAAGTACATCAAAGACTGTTATAAGTCAATCTCACTTAAAAGAAGAATCTATCAGCGAATCTGTATGTAGCAGCATGAAGGCTGAGGACAGTTCACGGCGCGACTCATTGTCCAGTCTGCTGACCGACAAGGAAATCACCAAATTGGTTACCTCTAGTGTTAAGGAAGATACTGAACATGTTACAAAGATAACGGAAAAAACGACAACATCCCAGTTGGAGGAGCTACTCATTCAGTCCGAAGAGTGCTCATCCGAGTCCATAGTCAGCGAGATTCAAACTACGAGCAGCCAGAAGCCAAGTAGTCAAATCTCAAGTAAGGAAATCACAAGTACAACTGTTCAGGAATCAGTAAAGGACAGTCTCAAGGAAACGGTAGCTGAATTTTTGGCAACGGAGAAAATAGTTTCTGCCAAGGAAACCTTCAGCGCTGAGGCAACCAAAACCGCTGATGACTGTCTAAAGATGATCTCCAGTGAAATTACCTCCCAGAAGCCGTTGTTTGTCGGCACAGATGAGTCGCGGCGTGAGTCGATGCTTAGCCAGACAAGCGAGGGTCGACAAACCCACAGCGATGTTGAGGAGGATAGCGACGATGACAGACATGCCGGTCTAAAGGAAAGTCGCTCCAAGTCCATTGCCACCATCATGATGACCAGCATCTATAAGCCCTCCGAGGAGCTTGACACGATTGGAGCGATCAAAGAAGAGGAGACTAAAGAAGAGGACGAACATGAGGCATCCAAGGAGACAAAAACCACTTCCTCCACAGACACAACCACATTGCTGCAATCCTCTGAACAGAGCAGCAGCAGCACCACTACCACAACTAAATCAACCGACTCGAAAACCAAAGTAGAGTCTATAACACTATTACACACACAAACACAGGCTGAGAAAGCAGTGGACGGCACAGATCGCAAGACGCCGCCAACGGCACCGGTCAGTCCCAGTGTAAAGCCAATGAGCACCACAAGCACCGCGGCCAGCAGCTCAGGCTGTGCCAAGAGTGAGTCTAGCGCTGCCAGCGTCGCATCAACATCGGGCCCATTGTCGCCCAAAGATATTAGTGGTAAGTCTAGTCCTGGTGCTTTAACATCTGAAAGTCAATCCATACCAACACCGCTAGGGCGTGAATCACACACCGAGACGCCAGAGTCATCACCCAAACCAACATCTCCGTTCCCGCGTGTCAGCAAAGACGAGCTTAGGTCCTTAGGTGCAGTGGAGGAGCCCGATTTAGCCGAGATTGGAGTCGACTCCAGCGAGCTGCTGCCCGAACTGCACGAGCTGCGTGGCATTGAGAGCACCACAGCGCTGAGTGGCAGCACCGAAAAGATTATCACGACTACCATAACCACAGTCACCAAGGTCGTCTCCGCGGATGGCAAGGAGATTGTGACCGAGCAAAAGACAGTTACTACAACCGATAGCTCTGAGCCAGATAGCGAGAAGGTCGTGGTAACCACAACGCGCACCACCAGCGAGAGCGAGAAGAGCGAGCGTGAGCGCGATCAAATGCTACCCAAGGAGGTGGCTGTGCTGCGTGGCACTTATCGCTCCAGCACACCCGGCAGTGATGATGAGCGTCTGGCCGGCGCTATGAGCGATGATGACTTGCCAGGCACACCACGCAGCACCAGCTATGATCTGCAGCGCTCCAGCTCTGGGGTGAGCAAGCGCTCGGATCTGGATGGCGAGGACAGTCAGGATGATATACCGCCTCAATACGGCAGCGAAGAGCATTCCACTGCGCGCGCCATTCTGCCGCCCCGCACTGCTGATCCCATGGCAACCTCATTCTATGGCGCACTTCCCGATAGTTTTGATGGCAAGCCCAGCACAGAGCCCATACCGATACGGGGTGCCGTGCTGATGACCTACACAGACTCACCGCCAGCCAGTCAATCGTCGGAGAGTGTGGAGAGCACCAGCCAAACCTGGGCCGGACATAAATTCCTGGATGAGGCCGACAAGGACTTCCAGAAGGCACTCGAGGAGCATGTGCAGGCGCGCGGCGCCGAGGTGATGTCTTCCGTGACCGCCAAGTATTCCTACTCGCCTTCCAAGGCCGAGGAGGTCGAGCAAATTGTCAGCAGCACTGCCGAGCGACAACGTTTCCCCCTCAGTGATGTCCACAAGGTACGCAGCGGCGACAATCTCTTGGCTAGTTTTGGCACCCTAAGTCCAGCTGGTGGAAGCCAGCAAGCAGCAAGCACTGCAACCACCACTGGCACTGCCACACCGTCAACAGCAACAGCTGCAGCAACAACTGCAGCAACATCAGCAACAACTGCAGCAATAACTGCAACAGCTGCAGCAACAACTGCAGCAACAACAACAGCAACAACAACAGCTAGCACAAGCAGCACTACCGGCACTCTGCCAAAGGATCGACTTGAGGAATGGGGCAAACCACTCGGCCTTCCATCACCGGCACCATTGCCGGTCGAAGGCGCCGATATTCGCACCACGCCCAAGAAAGAGCGTCGCTTGGTCGCAACCAAGACGCGACTGAACAATGAGAAGAACCTGCGCAAGCGTAGCGAGTCACCCAACAAGGCTAAGAAGCCCGCACCAGTGTATGTGGATCTTACCTATGTGCCGCATAACGGCAACTCCTACTATGCGCACGTGGACTTCTTTAAGCGCGTCCGTGCTCGCTACTATGTCTTCTCCGGCACTGAGCCTAGCCGTCAGGTCTACGATGCCCTGCTGGAGGCCAAGCAAACCTGGGAAGACAAAGAGCTAGGTAAGTACCGTCAGAGAGTCAGCAACGAAACACCCCATTAACAATGATCAATCTTTGCAGAAGTTACCATTATACCGACGTATGACACTGACGTGCTGGGCTACTGGGTGGCCGAGAATGAGGAGCTGCTTGCCAAGCACCGCATCGATCTGTCGCCATCCGCTTCGCGCTGCACAATTAACTTGCAGGATCATGAGACCTCGTGCTCCGCATATCGCTTAGAGTTCTAGGCCACGGGCTTGTTTATTGCATTTGACGATGACGACTAAAAGAGTTAAATAGGAAAAACACAAACTTTTCAAATCACTTCCACACATAGACAGAGATTTGAGTGCGGCCCCTCTCTCTCTCTCTCTCTCTCTCTCTGTCTCACTCTCTCTCTCTCTCTCTCTCGTAAACCTGGTTGGGGCTAACAACAGCAAAAACAAATAAATAAAAAAATAAAAAAAAACACACACACGCACACAACACACATCAAAATGACGATTTCCAATTCTTGAGCTTAACGATGACGACTAAAAGAAAAATCAAATCAATAACAACGAACATGACAACAAAGAAACATAAGCTTGACAACAACAACAACAACAACAACAACAAAATGCAATATACAAAATGCCGTGCGCCAAAGAGGAACAACTACTTTGGAACCTATGATCGAACAAAAGCTGAATATGGCGGAGTAACGGGTCACTTGGATGACGCCATTTTGTTTAGCCAATGCCGTCTATTCGCGCTTTTTGTTGCTTTCGTTTTCCAAGTGCAACAAAAGGAGGTAATTAATAAATATTAATTTTCAAACAAATTAATTACCAAAATAAATGCAAACCACAAAAAAAAAAAATTAAATTATATATACAAAAAAATGAAAAGAAAAAAAAAACAGGCGCTACGTGCCAGAAACAAATTATAAAGATGAATATCGTAAAATCCTATACCGATATATAGAGTGTTTATTGTATTTGTTGCTTTCATTAAACGTCAAGCTACCTTGCATAGTAATCCAAAGATCAAAAATGTTTTCAAAACCGCTTAGCAAAAATATACAAAAACCAAAAATAATTATATTAAAAAAAAAAAAAAAAAAAACATTAAAAAAAAAAAAAAAAAGGTTACAAAATGCTAAGTATATTACAAATATTATTCATGTTTCTTGTATTAGTAAAACTTTTATGAAAGAAGAAAAAAAAAAACTATTGAGAAATCTCATATATTTGAATTTTAAATAAAAATATATATGCATGAAAACATATATATATATACGTATATGTGTATGTGCCGCAAGAAGGCGAAAGCGAAATCATATTCTACTACTACTAGTATTTATATAGCTCTAAAGACAACACACACACACACATAAACACACACACACACGCATAACACAGAATGTACCATGCAAATGTTTTTTTTTTTTTTTTCACGAAATAATATGAAATAATGCACAGCAAAATGTTAAAGCATTAATAAAAAGGTTCTAATTAACTAAATGAAATGAATTTAATACGAATATGAATACAAAGAAGAAGAAACGTATACAAAATATATATAAAAAATAAAGTAAAACTATAATCGAACCAAGCATAATGAATAATACGAAACCTTAAATAAATGTGCCTCCCCGAAATGAACAAACAGATGAACAATACAAAGGTCTTAAAATATGATATATCATATAACATATATATAAATATTTATATAAATGGAATACTCGAAATGTCAACTAAACTTGACAATTGATTATATTATTTGATTAGAATATTTCTATTTCTACATTTTGAGTTGATGTTTTGTTCTGGCAGGCAGGCAACAGAAAGACTTACCTAATGAAAATACAAACTACAAATGGGCGAAAATGAGATATACATATACATATTCATATATAATCCAAACTATAGATCACAAAACACGCAAATTGATATACGTACACTTACATAGAACAGGATATAATTATACCAAAAGTCTGGCAGAAATATTGATTGAGGTGGAAGCGTCGCATTGTTGGGCTAGATCCGGGTCTGTGTCTGTGGTACAAATTGGAAGTCATATGGGTTCGATATATATATATATATATATATATATATATATAGGCTGTATTCTGATGTCAATGTGTGTGGCGAGATTGACAAATGCTGATTGCTGTTGTTGGTGATAAGGTTGATGATGATGATGATGCGATGATGTTATTGCTGATATATATTACTATGTAAGGTTTACGAGGGAGGGTCTGATTGGGTCTGATAAGCATGGGATTTGGGGGTAGGGTGACATTTAACCAGATATTGTGAAACAAAACTAAATGAAGAACGCAAAATGAATGAAGGTTATTTTTCTATATTTTTTTTACTTTTTCATAGTCATAGAATAACAAATTTCAAAAAATATAAAAAACAAAAACAAAAAAAAAAAAAAACAAAAAAAAATACAAACAAAAGAACATTTAAAACCCTAAACAAAAACCCTTTAAAATATAAACACACATTAATAGCAACAAATAAAAAAGAAAAACGAACAAGGCACACGCAATATTCAAATGAAATTCAATGCAAATGTTTGAGGCCACTGCAAGAAATTTATAGTCAAATATAAATAGTCCAAAAGAATGAAGATAAAAAATTGAAAAAAAAAAGAAAAACATTTTTGATTGCATTACAAATTGATATTTGACATACAGACTTTTTAAGATATACATACATATATAAAGCCGATTTTTAAAGAACGCAAGCGTAAATTAAACGACGTAATTGCTTTTTATATACAACAACAAAAAGAACAACAACAACCAGGCGCAACAGTCGACAAACAACTGGCTACCGTCCAGTCTACAAAACTTTGATAAGCAACAAGAAGAAGCAAAAATGAAAAATAAAACAAATTTAAAATTAACAAAAAAAAAAAACATATTGTAATCTAAAATACACTTACATATATAAAAACCACTTAAGCAATTAGTAAATAATAATTTTCAGAACATCCGAAAACGCGCATGTGATAGTTTCTTTAATTTTTTTTTTTTTGTTTAAATTAATTTTTGAAAAATTTTTTTTTTTTTTTTTGTGCCTAATTAAATTTTTTTTGCGACATAAAAATAGTCAACATATTTATGTATGTATGTATATGATATAAAGTGATAAAAAATAATTAAAGCGAAATAAATAAAAGGAAATTATTGTATGACTACTAGCAAACAGCTTTAGACAGGGATTTACAAATCATAAACAAAATTTTTTAAAATAAAATGAATATATGACATATAATTGAAGAGGCATTGAAAAGTTATAAACAAAGTCAATGGTACAAGCACCATAAAAACTTATTTTATAATCAATTACAAATTATAATACAAAATAAAAAAAGACATTTAAGTTAAAAAAAAAAAAAAAAGAAAAAAAGCCTATACTATTCGATTGAAGAACTAATCAATTTTTTTTAATATAAATTATATTATTAAGGAAATTTAATAACACTTTAAATATTAACAATTGATTTTCTGAAAAGAGAACCAAATCCGACACCGAGTACCCAAAACATAAGTCGGTAGATCCGGTGTGTTTATGGATCTCTGATATTATTTCATGTTTGGTTTTCATGTGCGAAGATACGAGTACAGACAAATAAGTGTATAGCCCCAAAAGGCTCTTAAATTACTCTATGTCTGAAGCAAAAATTTTCGTATTAATTTAAAAAAAAAAAATTTTTGCGCTAAAACTAAATAAAAGCATAATGAAAACTTATAGACATATACTACATATACACACACACAATATATATATATAAATAAATATATATATATATTTGAAAAATGCATAAACAACCTATATACACTATATACTTGAATGTATGGATGTTTGCTTATAAGCTCAAAGTAAATAATTTTCTGAAACCCTCACACAAGTTGAGTTGAGGAAGGATGAGGGAAAGCTCTGAAACAGTTTCCCAACCAACTCAAAAACAAAAGTTAAATTGATCTGTGTTGAATTATATTGCAAATGTTTTTTAAATGTTTGTTGTTAATTTTGTTTATTTGTCAGCTGTGAAATCAGCTCAGTATATATCTATTATGTATTCATTGCCTTATCCAAAGAACAAAGCGTATTAACGTATTAACTTTATATATACATATATACAAGATTATGAGTGTATACCCCATAAACAAAGAAAGATAATGACGAATTTGTTTGTTAAATTTGCTATATGAATTTGCTTTAACCTATTAGCAGCTTCTATTTAAATCAAATATACTTCAATTTACATGCGTACATACATACACATATATGCATATGTGTGTGTGTATCTATTATATTTGACAACTATATAATCATTAGAAAAAAAAACATGCAGAAAATTGTTGAAAAAAAAGATATATATATACATATATACTATATATGAAAAATCGAAAATCCGATAAAAAAAAAAAAAAAAATCAAAGAAAAACGCAAAGTAAATTATTCTATATATCGCTACAGTGGGTTCTATTCGATATAGAAATTATATATACACACACACACACACACATACACATAGACAGGTAAATAAGGCATCGGATCAGATCACATGAAGTGCGTGCACAAAAAAGAGGAAGACGGTTCTTAAATGTAGAATGGAAGAGAGATAGCGCAGTGAAAGCAAGCACAAAGAAAATGTTTAAAAAAAACACACACACAAACACACACAGTGAACACCCACACTAAAGAACAGCCGTAATTGAAATCGAAAATTACAAAGAAATTCCAAAAAGAAAACCACAAGAAAAAAAATAAATAAATAAATAATTAAATGCATATATGTATTACATTTTATGAAAAAGTCAAATCAAGCTTATCTCAAGAACTATTTCCAAAGAAAAACAAATCTAAAAATTATAATAAAGGTATTTATGTGAAACTTCAATGTGTTTTATTTCAAACTTCAGTTGGGCTGATAGGGAACACTGAGAGCTATAAATATGAGTGATATACTCGCATTCAATACATTTATATATTTGTATGTATATTTATACCCATGTGAGATTGTAGTTATATCCTGATTATAACTTGATCTGGCTTGGCTCAACAAAATCAGTAAGGACGATCGACATGATGAATGGATCCTAACTTCAGCTGATGACAGAGCTCGATGTGTAAGCCCAATCAAGTATAATTTCTGTATTTATAGTAATAAGTAATATATTATAATTACTAAACATAAGGCCTTCAAAATCGTTATTTTTCTTTGTAAAAATGGATAGATTTAAGAGAAAAATTTTAGAGTTTAGGGATAGATCTCAAATGACCTGAGCTGAGAGAGCAAAATAAAAGCCGAATCAAAAACAATGTATTTATTTATTAAATATCTATTTATTATGTAAGTATATCTAAGTACTTCTTTTATATATTTTATATTATGTTTCTTAAACATAAATGCAAATCCTAAAGTCTACCTTATCGGTTTCTAAGTTGTAATCGAGTTCAAGGACAGAGCCTCTCTAATGTCTACATGCACATACATATGTATATGTATAATATATGCTCTTTAAGCATAAGCCCAAACCTTATAGCGCCCCCTTTTCCTTCGGTAAAAGTACCTATGCACCTAGCCACAGACGGACGTCCCTACTTCTTCGTACGGCATAAATATTTAATCAACCCTGAACGTCAGCAGGACGCATGTGGCTCACCTTTTTATCTGCCAAATGGGATATACATATGTAGTGGGGTCGGTTGGCATTTTAGCCAGTTGACATTGAAATGCGTTAATTTATATTGATAATGATTGATGAGGGCGCGGACAGCTAGCCCACCTGCCGGCCTGCTGGTCACTCGGGCAGTGCTCAAGTGGGCCTTAGTCTACGCAGAGAGTCAGGCTGCAGGATGGCAATGGAACTAGTCTCTCGGCCAGCATAGTGGAGAGTGCTGTGCAGATTTCGCCTTTGGCTGTAAAAAAAAAATAAAGAGTTAATAAGCATCAAATTGCAATTAGTTGTGATTAGATAAACGCATTCCTTATCTCTCGTATATATATACATATATGTGAGCCCCACTCGACCCATAGCGAGTCAATAGTTCGCCATGGACACTGACGATGCACTGGCGTCTCTGCAACGAGCTAGCCAATTGTGCTGCCTGTGCTATTGGCGCCGGGATAGTGCCACAGGGCAGCAGAAACGTTCACGCTGGCTGCTGCTCTACGGCTGCGTTGTGCTGCTCCTGTCCGTTGGGTACTTGCTGTACGGGTTGCTCGATGCCAGTCGCAATGTCGAGGCCAATGGCGTGGGCTCGGAGACCACGCATATTGGCCATACGGTGGACTCGATACAGCTGGTTGGCATCCGGGTGGCGCATGCTACGGCCCTGCTGGAGGAGCTCTGGCAGTGGCAAGCGCAGAGTCAATTTGTCGCGCAGCTGCGCCAGATCGATCTGGATTTTATCAATTTGCTGCAGCTGGACGTGAACAATGGCCAACTGCGCCGCCAGATGGGCCGCCGGGCGCTCTATATGCTGTCCGGCTATGTGGTTAGCCAGGGCTTCATATTGTTCACCAAAATAATGTCGCTGGACATCAAGTTCATGGTCTATTGGCTGAGCTACTTGCTGCCGCTGCTGGTCTGTGGCCTGCGCTACTTTCAGATCTACACGGTCATCCTGATTGTGCAGCAGCGCCTGGAGCTGCTGCTGAGCATGCTCGACTCACTGCAGCTGCACGAGGCGTTGCCGGAGAAGCCATATATCTGTAACACCATCAACGAGAAGCTGGACATGGAGACGCAGGCGGCGGCTTGCATGCAGCGTCTGCTGGCCGCCCGAAAACTATACCAGAGCCTGTGGATGTTGGTTGCTCTGCTGAATCGCTGCTACGGCCTGTCCATGCTGGTCAACTTGGGCAACGACTTTCTGTCCATCACCTCGAACTGCTATTGGATATTCCTGAACTTTCGCCAGTTCGCCGCCTCGCCCTACGACTTCATGCAGATCGTGGGCAGCGCCCTCTGGACCGCACCGCACTTGAGCAACGTTCTCATCCTGGCACTGCTATGCGAACGAGTTTCCTATTTTGTGAGTAGATGAACGGGCCCAAGAGAAAGTGCTTCACGTGCCCCTCTCTCCTTGCAGACAACGCGCTTGGCCCTGAGTCTGCACCACATTCGCGCGGATCTTCAAAACGATGCACACAATGCTCTAGTGAGTGATTCGGTTTCAAGCTCCTTTCAGTCTGTCCTTTAGCTAGGTCTGCTTCACAGATCACTCAGTTCTCCCTGCAGCTGTTGCACCAGCGCCTACACTTCAGTGCTGCGGGCTTCTTCGATGTCAACTGCACGTTGCTCTACACGGTGAGTGGGCGTGGCTGCAGCTGATGTCCAGCTACTCATGGTATCCGTTTCAGATTGTCGGGGCCACAACTACGTATCTCATTATCCTGATCCAGTTTCACATGAGCGAAAGCAGCCTGAACAGCGACTCGCCCGGCGGATAGGGAATGAAAACATAGTTGCCTGTGTATTATCCATCTCAGTACGTTTGATCTGAAATAATAAATAAAGTCATGTAATATCCCAGTAGCCCATGAGAACGGCTGTACACAAATGTTAGTTTAAGCTATTATCAAAACTATTCATGTACAAACGAATAAGTAAGTAGAACCCATTTATACACCTTTCACACTTGTCCAAGATTGTTGATCGCCATCGCGATCTAGACTGGACATATTTCGAGCCAGCATTTAAAACCACAACAAAATGGAATGTCAGGGCAAAGTCCCTGCTAAGGTCCCCACAACTGACGACGAAAAAACCCTAATTAATTCACCAATGCCAACGGCAACGCCATCGATCGATGAACTCAGCAGTGACGAGGAACTATTTGAATTCATACGCGAAGCTCCCATAGGGGACAGAAACGAACCGTCATCCAGTGCCAGTGAACTAACCATAACTATGTGCGAAAGCGAGGAGCCGACAGCGAGCTCCTCTTCCACCCATCCCTCGGTCGATGCCCCAAGCAACGAAATCAACAACAGCTTGGTGGCCGTGGTCCAACGAAGCGAATTCGCTAAGCTCTTGATGCGCCTAGGCGAAGAGGGCGACGGCGATGCAAACCAGATTGTAATAGAGCTCCTTAACTCAAAGAAGCAAGCCACATCGGTTATCGAGCGCGTATCCGAAAACCTCATGCTCGTGCTACGCACCCAGACCCTGGCTGAAGCAGGCATCATAACAGGCAACGAGCGCTATCGTTCCTTCAAGTCGGTTCTGCAGAATTACGCAAAGCTCTACGCGGCTAAGCGATTTATCGAGAAACTCCCCATGCTGGGACTCTCGCAACATTCGACCCAGGGCCACGATCAGGACCAGAACGAGAACGAAAAGACTCTGGCTCGCATGGTGGCCGACGAGGTACTGCAGATTCCCGAACTACTGCGCCAGCTCTGGGCCTCCCTGGAGAAAATGGAGTTCTTCAACGAGGACACTGCTTACAAAGTTTACTTGGAAGCGCGCCGCCATCCGCAGGCAAAAATTCTCCGTGAACTGATGTTAACTCGCATCTCGCGTGTCTACCTTTGCATTGTCAGCTCTGCATCCTTTCTCGATTTTAGCGAGCACGAGCTAATCCACGTGCTCAACAACTGCTACCTCAGTGTCAACTCCGAGATAGAGGTAAGAGTAATGCATATTTGCTCTTGGTTTATGCTTTATTCATTCTCTCTGATCGCACTCAGATATTCCTCTCGGTCATACTCTGGTTGGAGCACAACTGGTATGAGCGTAAGAACTGCGCTGAGCGGGTCTTGAGTGGGGTTCGATTCGGCCTGATGCCCACCTGGTACCTCTATACTCTGGACAGAACCAACCGCTGCAATCACTTCGCCAAGGTCATCTATAGCCAGGGAGTCCAAGCCCTTTTGGAGAAGGGTCTCGAGTATGTGGATCTTTACCCAAGACTTGTCATGCCTATTAAATCGAATCTTTCCTTTACAGGGAAGCCTTGGCTTTGCGTTATAAAAAGGCGCGAGCTCGCAACTCCAGCAACATGGAGATTCCATTGCCACGTGACTGGGTTGCTGACCCGGAGTGTCGCCATCATCACAAGTGCCATTGCGAGCGATTTGTTTACCCGACATATGACGTGTTCAAGGACTACCTGGCTAGAATCATAAGATGTGCTCCGAATTACTGGCGCACTCTTCGTCCAGCCCAGGAGGTTTACCGGATGGTACTCAAATGTTGTGCACCCCCCTGCCAGACCCATCAACGAATTTAACCACACCGTTGAGATTAATTGTCTCATCTCCCTACGCTAATTGTAATCGGTCCAAAATTTATTGTTTTATCTGTCCTGGCATGTTTAAGCGCAAATCATTTTAGAGTGTTTAATAAATGTTTCAAAATTCCAATTCAATACTTACGTCTCAGCTTTAAGAAATGGAAGCTAAATGGGAAAGGATATATAAAATGCATAGCTCCAACTATACAAACTTGAGAGAAGAGGCAGAGGTAGGCATATGCATATTCCATTATTGGTAAATTGGCTGTTTGGGAAAAGGAGAACTAGTAATAACAACGCATTCGATTTATGAACTCAATACAAACGACAGCTGTCAACAGCTGATTTCACTTAAATTTTATTGCAACATTCATGGTGTGTATTTGCGGTCCTATCAACTTTTGCAGTTGAGCTGCTACGATTCCCAACTTAATCCAACATTTATTAAACACTTTAAAATGATTTGCAGTTAAGCACGCCAGAATAGGTAAAACAATAAATTTGGGAGCTATTTTGTTCGGTGTAGAGAAATAAGACAACTGATGTCAACGATTTGGTTAGGATCGTCGCTGTGTCTGGTAGGGGGGTGCGCAGCACTTGAGTACCTTCCGATAGACCTCCTGGGCAGGCCGAAGCGTGCGCCAGTAGTTTGGTGCAGATCGTATGATCCTGGCTAGGTAGTCCTTAAATACATCATATGTTGGATACACAAATCGCTCGCAATGACACTTGTGATGATGGCGACACTCCGGGTCAGCAACCCAGTCACGTGGCAATGGAATCTCCATGTTGCTGGAGTTGGGAGCACGCGCCTTTTTATAACGCATAGCCAAGGCTTCCCTGTAAAAGAAAGATTCGATTTAATAGGCATGACAAGTCTTGGGTAAAGATCCACATACTCGAGACCCTTCTCCAAAAGGGCTTGGACTCCCTGGCTATAGATGACCTTGGCGAAGTGATTGCAGCGGTTGGTTCTGTCCAGAGTATAGAGGTACCAGGTGGGCATCAGGCCGAATCGAACCCCACTCAAGACCCGCTCAGCGCAGTTCTTACGCTCATACCAGTTGTGCTCCAACCAGAGTATGACCGAGAGGAATATCTGAGTGCGATCAGAGAGAATGAATAAAGCATAAACCAAGAGCAAATATGCATTACTCTTACCTCTATCTCGGAGTTGACACTGAGGTAGCAGTTGTTGAGCACGTGGATTAGCTCGTGCTCGCTAAAATCGAGAAAGGATGCAGAGCTGACAATGCAAAGGTAGACACGCGAGATGCGAGTTAACATCAGTTCACGGAGAATTTTTGCCTGCGGATGGCGGCGCGCTTCCAAGTAAACTTTGTAAGCAGTGTCCTCGTTGAAGAACTCCATTTTCTCCAGGGAGGCCCAGAGCTGGCGCAGTAGTTCGGGAATCTGCAGTACCTCGTCGGCCACCATGCGAGCCAGAGTCTTTTCGTTCTCGTTCTGGTCCTGATCGTGGCCCTGGGTCGAATGTTGCGAGAGTCCCAGCATGGGGAGTTTCTCGATAAATCGCTTAGCCGCGTAGAGCTTTGCGTAATTCTGCAGAACCGACTTGAAGGAACGATAGCGCTCGTTGCCTGTTATGATGCCTGCTTCAGCAAGGGTCTGGGTGCGTAGCACGAGCATGAGGTTCTCGGATACGCGCTCGATAACCGATGTAGCCTTCTCTGCTTGCTTTTTAGAGTTGAGGAGCTCTATTACTATCTGATTTGCGTCGCCGTCGCCCTCTTCGCCTAGGCGCATCAAGAGCTTAGCGAATTCGCTGCGTTGGACCACGGCCACCAAGCTGTTGTTGATTTCGTTGCTTGGGGCATCGACCGAGGGATGGGTGAGAGAGGAGCTTGCCGTCGGCTCCTCGCTTTCGCACATAGTTATGGTTTGCTCACTTACACTGGCTGTTGGCTCATGTCTGTCCCCAATGGGGGCTTCGCGTATGAATTCAAAGAGTTCATCGATCGATGCCGATTCAGTCGGCATAGATGTGTTAATGCCTGTGGTCTTCTCCCCAGCTGTGGGAGGCTCCTCTGCAGGGCCTTTGTCCTGACAGTCCATAATGTTGGTATTTGTACGATGACTCAGCGGATATCCAATTCCACTGAAAGTTAATCTCTACAATGTGCTTCCCTAAATGGTTTCTAAATTAGCACGTTTGGTATAAATAGTGTGTGTACGTACGTATACATCTACGTATTTGAAATTGCTGTGTGTTGTGACATACGAACTGAGATATCAAATGGATACAAGGCCTGGTCGATGATTACTTATATGCTAACAGAAACTAGCAGCGCAGCCCACTGAGAATACGAAAAATATGAACGTACATTTGTTTTAGCTAGAAGTAACTGTAGTAAGCGACAGGCTTTGTAGGCACTGCATACATGTACTCCAGTTAGCTAGTTAGACTAGCACCGGGTTAAATTGAAGCCTTCGCTCAGCATAGGCTTATTGGTGGTGGCCTTCTTCTAGCAGCAGGCGAAACGAGTCAAACGTTTAGCTGCATAGCTGGAGCTGCTTTAGGCAGCATGTGAACCGATTAATGAAAGTTGGAACATCATAGACATCACTGCACATCATGGGACAGTTGGTAGCTATAATTTATATGGAAACAGTTGTTAGCAGAGAAATTCAAATATGGTTATATTATTCAGCTCCATTAGCTTAGCCAGGCGCTCTAAAGTGATGTGACGGCAGCATTTCGTGGATCTGCTGAGGCGCTCTATTGGGCAAGTGCTGCTCCAATTGCCTTCACAGATCATCATCGCTCCTCTAATGGTTTCCATTTTATGACGCAGATCACGGTCGCTTGGAACGACAGCTCTAACTGTAGCCCATTGCAATGAATATAACGGGCGCACATTGTAGAAAAGAAATGTTCGCTACACAATGGTTCAATGAAAACAACAAATCATATTGCGATAGAATATGCGCGCCGGTTAAGCACTGAATTAGTGCTGCACTAGTGAACGATAGACAAATCGATAATAAAACCTCTGCTGCTCTTTCGATAATATCGCCGCAGAGCTGCCGCGAACATTTAATTTAGAGTTAAAAAATATGTTTCGCTCGCATTTATTAGACTTTCAACAACCCAAGTAAAAACTTAAGCTTTTTTCTGAGTTGAATAGAGCACGTATGTTATATTATAAACCAAACTAAAAAACTCTTAAGAGCATATATACATATACATATGTGCATATACATAAATACAATAAATAATGAAAATATATAATGTATATTATATCATTTGTTTATTAATATTTAGTCGAGTCACAACTTTTTAAAGTTACTATTGTCTGCATTAAAACTATATCAGGTTTGTGCTTAAATGTTATACAGTTACAATTAACATACATACATAAATACGTAGACATACATATAATAAAACGATGGGCCGACGCCAGCGTCGTAAGGTGTCCCATTCACTTGCAGAGCTCGAATAACGTGTGCTTCAGTTTCTCCTCGTCGGCGCCGTTGACGCGGTATATATTCCGCTTGTTCTTGATGAACACAAAGGTTGGCTTGCTACGCACCCTGTATGTGTCCACCAAGTCCTCAAATTTGTCAACATTTATTTGTATGACTTCCGCCTTGTCAACATTTTGGCGGGCGAGTGCTTTAACCGCCTCATCGATGTCTTTGCATGGGGCGGACCAGGTAGCATAAAACTCCAGAACAATTAGCTTATGCTCTGCAGCCTCCAGGCGTTTGTTGAATCCACTTAAACTCCGAATGGTTGTCATTGTTTGATACAAAGTAAGACATATCAAATTGACTTGATCGAGTGAACATACATAGATGATGTGCTTTAGTCTGGAAACACACACACATTCATATTCTATAAAGCAAAAAACGGTACTTATCCAGCATTTGCGTGATGATAGATTCCAATATCGATTGACGATTAACAATATTCGTGCCCGCGCAGTTCAATTATTTGAATATGCACACACATATCACACGCATAGATTTTGTTAATATTTAAAATATAAATTTACTTATGCTATTAGAAAAAAATATATTAACAATAACAGCATTAAGATTGTAGGCGTATCTATATAAAAATGTGATCCTATCTAATCTGAGCACGCATAGCAATGCTGCTGGGAATCTCTATATTATTCAGCTGCAGCAGCTTGACCAGATTACGAATGAACTCCTGTGAGACCTTCAGCTCGTCGTCGGCCTCCAGGCGCTCGTAGAGATCGAGGGCGCCCTCGTAGTTATTGGTCTTCGTGAACTGGGAGAGCAGCATGTCGTAGATGCGCTGCTCGTCAATGGTGCGTTGCAGGCCTCGGACACCACGAGCCAGACGCAGGAGAGTGCGCACGGCGCCCTCTTGGCCCAGGTGCTCGCAGTTCTTCAGCAGCAGGTCGTGATTGAGCCGAAACTCTGGATTGATGACAAGCCGACGCAGCTGCGTCTCAGTGCCCGACTCGGCCAGAGCCAGCAGCAGGGCGCTGTTCATATTGGCTGCGCCGTGCACTCGGCTGACCGTCGACGTGACCGTGACCAGATGCTGCTGTGCTGACTCCTTGGTCATGCCCGGAAAACGTGCCAGCTCCGTCTCGTCGCCGTTGCTGAGTTTCACCAGCAGCGACAGCAGCTCGAACTGAAGCGGCGTGTGGTTGTGCCGCGTGGCCAGGCGCTGAAACTCTGCCACGGCGCCATCCATATCACCGCGATAGAGCCACTCCCGCAGCACAGGACCCAGCAGAGCATTGTGCGTCTGGCAGTAGCCCAGCTTGCGCAGAAAGTTGAACATCTCCAGTGTGGGGCTCGTGGATGCGGACCCGGATGCAGAGTCCTTTGCAGCCATTTTGGCAACATTCGTGAGCAGCTGCCAGACATTCTTGATGACATAGTCGCCGCCGTTGACCTTGTGCTGGGCGGCGCGCTGCTGCAGCAGCTCCTTGGCCTCTTCCAGCTGACCCTTCTCCACGAGCAGAGCGGCGTAATCAATCAGCTTATGCTCATCCAGAAGGAAACCTACAAATATATATACATATACATAATTGATATTTGACAATAAGAGCGGATATCTAGTCAAGATTCACCTGGATATGTGGTCTGTAGGCGCTGCAGGCTCTGCTGAGCACGTGGCAGGTTCTTCAGCTTGATGTGCAGATCAAAGATGGCGGCCAGCATCCCAGCGCTGGTCTGCACCCGTAGGGCATCGCACTTGGCCTGCAGTTCGAGCGCCCGCTCCAAGTGGCCGTCGCGCACGCTCAGCTGCAGCAGGCGCCGCAGCACGCCGCGCGTATTCAGCTGCTTGGCCTCCAGTTCGATGAGATGGCACTCGAGCTCTTCTCGCGACATGTCGCGCGGATGCTTGATGAAGCCGCCAACGGCCAAGACGGTATCCGCTGGTAGCTTCAGCTCCGCGTTGCGCATCTTCTGCAGCGTCTTGGCCAGCGACTGGCGTGTGTCCACATCGCTGTTGCTGCCCAGGCTCAACAGCGACTCGGCAGCCGCCGGGGAAATGTGCAGCTGCAGGCGCTGCATCTCGTGCAGGAAGCGCAACAGCGATGCCGGCTCCTGGCGTAGGCGCGTCTGTGGCCCGCACATCTGCAGCAGCAGTGCACCAACGAAGTCATCCTGGCGCTGCAGCGATCGCTGCTGCAATGTCTGGATCAGCTGGGCGAAGGCCTCGAAGCGCTTGGTCGCACGCATGTGTACAGCCAGCGTAGCCAACGGCTGAAGCAGCGTCGTCAGCTGGAGGCGTGTCGGGTAGCGTTGCAGCAGATCGAGCGCTGGCTGTAGCTCCAGATGCTGCAGCAGTTGGCTGAGCACGTGCACCAACGCCTGGGAGGGGCGCACGCCCACAGCGTCTAGCTGCTGCAGCGCCTGCACCGGCTGCTGCAGCGTCTGGTTGAGATTGGCTAGGACATATTGTCGCAGCGTCGGCTCGTCGCACTCCACGCCCAGGCGCTGCATATCGCCCAGCACCCGGAGCACGCCGCTCTCGCCCTCGCGCTTGTGTTGCTGCAGCAGCAGGGGCCAGAAGTAGTGCGGACGCAGTGGCTCACCCGCGGCATTCAGTGCTTCTAGGCAGCTCAGGGCAATCGAAGGTTGACGACGCAGCGCCAACTCAGTGAGCACCTCCAAGGCGCGCGGATTCTGGCCGCGCTGGCGCAGCTGGAGGGCAAACTGCAGCATCTGCTCGAGGGGTGTGTGGGCGCGGAAGAGCTCCTGAAGCAGGTACGCTGCATATCCATCGATGTTTTGCTTCTCGTTAAACTTGGGTGCCGGCAGCATCCCCACCAGTTGGATCATCAGCGCCGCCTGATCTCTGTACAGCATCTGGATGCAGAGACTGTTGATGGCCGGCGGCACGTCGATGTCGTTCACATAATCGGCGGGCAGCTGTGCCACCAGCTGCTGCATTAGCTGCACATCCACCTGCTGCTCGGCCAACACAGCGCGCAGCATTTGCATAAGCTGCGGCGCATTGAAGCCGCCCGCGTGCTGCCGGAGCAGGTCGCGCGCCCTGGGCAGCTCGTCGTTCTCCACGTAGGCGACGAAGCACAGGGCCTGGGTGCTGGCACTGGGCGTTATGCCCGCCGCGCGCATGCTGCTGAGGACCGTCTCGACGCCTGGTAGATCTCCGCTGCGCGCATGGCCCATGAGGAGGGCGTGAAAGTTACGCTTAGAGAGGGGAAAGTTGCGCTCACGCATGTCACTCAGCAGCTCGGTAGCCTGTCGCAAGTTCCCGCTGGCGCCGGCCACATCCAGCAGGGCGCTGTAGAGGCTTGCATCCGCGGCGCCATTGTAGGCGGCAATCTCGGCCAGTAGAGCACGATGATCGGCCAACGGCAGCTGGTTCTCGTGCAGCATCTGCAGCTGGGTGTGATAGTGCGCCATGGACGGTTGTTCCACTTTCAACAGCTGCGCCCACAGGCGCCGAAACAGATCCCCACGCTCTCGGCTGCTCAGCACTGGCAACAGCTCCGGCACACAGGCGCCCAACAGAAAGTGCAGCTGTTCGGCAGTTAGTGTGTTTTGCACTGGCATGGGTGGGCCCTCCAGCAGTGCCAGCAGTCGTTCGCAGTGCTCTTGGCGGAGCACATTGTGCTGCTGATAATGTTGCTCAAGCTGCGTCCACAGATCATCGAGGCTGGCGATGATGTTCCCGCGGTCATTGGCCTTCGCTACACGCTTCTTGTTCGAGGATGCGGGTCGTGCAACTGGTGTGGTTGCTGCCGTCGTATAGCTATTTGCAAGTGGCAGCAGTGCCGGCATTGTTGTCCTGCTGATCATTGGCATTGCATAATGCAGACATCCACGTGCCGTTGACGGCGCAATGGCAGCTCCAACTGCAACGCGTCGTAATTGAAACCGCAGGCGCACATTTTGGAAGAGGTGTGTACGCAACATGGCAATGGCCAAGGCGCTGGAAACACAGAATTGCTTAACGAAAACAAAACGTTGTAAAACTAGAGAACATGCGCGCCGGCAAAACACTGAATTAGTGCTGCACTAATATCGATATTATCTATCGTTGAAAATACATTTTACTATCGATGAAAACAATTCATTAAACAATTCTTATAATTTCGGCGAATGAGCAGTTGGAATATTTGCAATAACTGCAAGAAATAAATACTCTGTACTTTTTTTTTCGTATAATAACTATTCCATATTCAATGGTTCTTCACCGTCGTACTATCTTATTAAGGTGATATTAGCATATTACATATATATATGAGGTACGCATTGTACAAAAAATAGAAATACTTATTTTTACTTTATATATGACATTAATAATAAATGACTATTAATAGCATAAGTTGTTTATTTCATGTCTCATTTAATTTGCTACGAACTCAGTAATCGCACAACAAACATATCGATAGCACCTGATAATAACAAAAATCAGCTGTGTGAATGGTTTTCTGATTTGAATATGGCGGCAAACATTTACTGCGCACCTGTAATGAGAATCGTGCTAACGAAAACATTACGATAGTGATAGTGCCATCGATAACTTGCACTTCGCTCAAGTCGTGAAAAATATGAATATTTAAATTTGTTAAATGTAAATACTTCGAAATGCAAAGTTTGCGTGTTCATGAATTTTAATTGAGGGGTGTTGAGACAACAATATCACATCATTTGCAACGCCTTCCTCAACAATTCAACAACAATTTTAGCCACCAACATAAACCAGGGCTGTGGCTTTGGCCCTGGCAGTATGCAGAAACGATTATTGTTGACAGCAGAAGTTGCATCGAGTCAACAAACTGATGTGAATTCGAATGTCAGTCGGGAGTTGGAGTCGGCAGAAGAGGGCACAATGTTGCACAGTACGTACTCAAACTCTTCTGTATATATCTATGTGTGCACATGCACACATACATATATATTAAAGTGTGTTTTCGTTTGTTTGCTTTATTTATATATATGTACATACATATTATTTTTTCCTACGACAAACAGTTGCTCCTTCGGCCATTGATAAACTGCGCCGTTTTTGCTACCTGGGCAGAATCAAGCAGCCAGTTTATGCACCGACAACTTTTGACTTGACTGTGGAAGCCCATTTTGAGGCACTGCGTGAGCTGTGCGGCAAAGTGAATGAAAATGAGCTGATCGAGTGCCTGAGAGACGTTCTCGATGCATCCAATGATCAGTACTTGCCCCGACACGATGAGGCGATACTCGTCTTGGCCGTTTACCTTTCTACGTGCCCGGATGAAAAGCATCGCACACTGGTGCGCGGATATTTCGCTGCGCTTGTGCGCACTTCCCAGGAGTTGTTCTTATTTGTGAAGTTCGTGAAGCAAGTGCAAAAGCTGTTGGACCGGAAAACGCCCTTTAGTCGCACCGTGCGTAAAGCTGTGCTGGAGTGGTATCAGCATCAGGCACTGGACAAGCTGCTACATATGTGGTCGCTGGGCGATTGCAACTCGGCCCAGCATCGCGAACTCCTACAGCGATGCCACTACATGAGCGCCAAATTCGATGCGGATAAGATGGCCGCGTTGCGTGTGGTGTCTGCGCCCAGTAAGGACCTGATTAACTGGCCCGACTATCTGGAGCCTCTAGCACAATGCAAGGAGACGATTCAAGGCATTGCCAATCTGCGCCTAACCCCAAACGCAGAGGCTGCCCTGCCCCTTATCGAGAAAATGTCGCTTAGCTACGAGCACTTGCCGCGTCGCCTTGTGTCTGATCAGAAAGTTGTTAATCTACTCATGGCCAAAATGACCTACGACCAGATGCTGCAGAGTTGGCCAACATTCCTCAAGCTCAATAGGTCGAATCGCCACGCCCAGACGTGCTTCACTCAGCGTTTCTTCGATCCCTCAGAGCTGCGTGCAGCCAATGTCGAGCCACTACGCCTGCTGTTGCAGGAGGCACGCGGATTCAGCCGCAAAAAAGTGGTGAGTGTTTATGATGTATGCAAATCTGAACTCAATTAAATCCAAAATTGTGGCCGTAGATTACGAAAGGAGTTGTTTCACCAAGGCCGTCCAGCATTATACAGAAGCTGTACAAACAGTCGTTCGGCTTCAACAAACCTTTGGGCTTACGACTTCATATAACAATCAATCTGGAGATGGTTTACTTGCGCAGTGCGTAAACGTTTGAATGAAACGAAATCATATGATTTTGTTGGCTAATATTTGATTCGCTCCCCTAGAATATCTCCTTGGACGCTTTCGCTCGATCAAGTATATCGATGCCGTACTCGCTATAGCCTTTGGTTACTTCAAATGCGACCCTAAAGTAACCGTGCGTATTTGGTATGACAAGACTGGAAAGCTGAAAGCGCTGCCATGGACGCCAGCCATGTCGGTTGATGAAGCCAAGGCCACTTGCGAGAGCCAGAAGGTGGTGAAAATCAAACAGACTCTGATAGACGTAATCGACGATGCGCTGCAGGATACTGAACAGACGTATGATGTTTTCCTGGTGCTGGTGCCTTGTGGAACGCGTGGAAATCAAAGGAATAAGTCCGAACAACTTTGCAAGCGGCTGGACGAGTATCGTGAAAAGCGAAATAAAGATGCCAAGTAAATTGCTTTGCCCTCAGCTCGATTCCCCCTATTCCACCACTATTAAATCTCCTCCCATTTACAGATTCATCATATTGAGTCTGCGGCAACAGCATGGATCCATGGGCTATTCGAGTGAGCGTAACGAGAACATATTGGAGTTGTGCAGCATTTCAGAGCAGACGCCACGTTTGATCAATGCCTTTGCTCACGGTAAATTCTTCTAGGCTATAAGAACTAATACAACTTCTGTGCTACCCAATGCAGTGGATGGCATCCGGTAACCAAAGAATCATAATCAGCTATTTAATTGAAATCCCTATGGTAGCAAACGCACAGGCTGCATCAGCTGATGCTTGTCACTGGAAATAAGTTCACCGTAGAAGTGACAGCAAGCTATCTAGTGCTCTCTATACTTCCATCTCTTTCAATTTGCATCTCTCTAACACACCAGTGCACATCGCACACATTCACACATGACACGTAAATCTAGCAAGATATGACTAGACATAGCATCCATTGTTTCATGTGCGAGTTTTTCACGTACATCTCTGATGCTTATTAATTATATAAAATATTTACATGCATACCTTAAATAGCTCTTAAGCTACACACACAGCAGACACACATAAACAGGCACATACACACACACACACACACACACACACACACACACACAAACACATACACATATATACACTTATGAGTATATTAAGAGTATACATATATACTTTCACTCTATACAACGCTAATTTTTGGAACGACTTGTACCACATAGTTATACATACTTGCATTAAATTGGTAATTAGGCGTAGTTAAAGAATTTAATTGATAATTTAATTTCGAAAACGAATGAACTGAATCTAAATCTAAATTTAATTTGGATTAAAAACACAATTCAAGTGAATCTGAGCAAAGCGAGAGAAAAAAAAAAAAAAACACAAACAAATTGCCTTACAAACAAAATGTTAGTCAATCTTTAATTTTAACTAAACATACATATTAAATACAAGGAATTTCTTCGTAAAAGTACTGAAACAATATTAAAAAAACAAAATGGAAAAAAGCAAAAACGAAACCGAAAAGCAAAAGAAAGCATTTAGATAAAATTTTCAAACAAAACATAACTAAATGAAAAAAATAGTCCAAACTAACAAATAAGTTAAAAGCCCACGAACAAGCTAAGCAGCAAATGCAATATGAAATATTGTTATAAATTGATCTTGTTTTGAACATATTTAAAGAACAACAAAAAAGCAACTGCCCAAAATACTGTGAAATTTTATGTAACTAAAAAGCAAAATCGAATATGAACTAACAACAAATATGAGGAATCGAAGGCTTAGACACAAATTTATACAGCTAAGAACTCCTAATGTGCCATACACACACAGTCACACACACGCACACGTACAGACATATATATATATAGAATCACACACACACACATAAAGCCTAAACATAACTGAACAATAATTACAGCAAAGACACAAGAGATTCGAGTAATTTTTATTGAATACATTTAAATTTGTATACAAAAATACTGAACAAAAAGCCAATCAAACAAATACAATTTGGAAGCTTAGCAAAAAGTATTAAAAAAAAAAAAAAAAAAAAAAAAAAACAGGAATAAGAGAAACAAATAGCAATAGAAAAAGGATTTATAAAGAAAAGAAGAGAAAATTATTGAAACTTTAAAAGAAAATAAGAAATATGTATTTCTATGGACACCTTTGACATGTGTCCACACGCATCTGTGAAGTAAACCGTTGTGATCGCTTTGAAATTTTTATTTAAAACAAAAACGAAAGACAAACAAATTAGATGAAACTCAAGAGAAACTTAAACTAATATAGATTCAATTAAATATAAGTTAATTCCTTGTGGACTGGAATGCAAATCATTTCGTAATGACAAGAACAAACACAAAAACAAAAAGCAAGATAAATAAGTGAAACAAAACTTAAACCAGAGTGTTACCAAAAAAATAAATAAAAGCGTACCTAGACTCAGAATTCAAAAGCAACAAATGAAATTTGAATACTAAAACAAAGACAAACTCACTCACTGGCACGATACTACAGCAAGAAACAGTTAAACAAACACAGACACAGACACAGCACAGACAAACACAAACAAACAAACACGAAATACACACACATACACATATATAATATGTATTCAAGTAGTATTAAATAACTAATGTAATGTTGTATTCCGTATTGTATATATCTATAGTTGAAGTCATAAACCATATGATTTGATTTGTTAAGAACTACGCCAACTCAAACAAAACAGTATCAAAAGGAAGCTAAAGATCAGCTGAATGATCTAAAACAAAAACAAAAAACGAAATGTTTTGAAACCTACAGACAAACCTATAAATCCGCATTAGCAACAAGAAGCAAAACTTTATGTGATATCTATTTGAAAAATAAGCAAAACCGTAAACCCAATTCAAAAAAAAAAAAAAATATATATTTAAAATATAGACATAACAAAAACAAAACGAAAATGAACGACAAGAGAAACCAAAACATATAGGAAAATTTTGTAAACTTTCAGCAAATGAATCCAAAAAACAAAAAACAAAAGCAAAAGCGAAACGAACGAAACGAAATATATAAACAAATTGCACCTTATCTGTATCTATCCTAAGTTTAGGCCCTAATGAATGTATTTTACATGTATTTGCCACTTTGTCATTTTATTCTGTTAACCGAGTACTTAGCATACGTAAAATGTCTAATGTTATAATGTTTTAGTTAGCACTAAATACAGTTAAGTACATATATATGTATGTATGTATATACGTATGCAGATATGTATATATATATACATAGTTAACGCCAATTTATTGATTGAAGCAATATCCGATACGATACGATACTATATACTCACTAATTTAAATACTAAAATACAATAGGCTTAATGACGATTCATTCAAAATGTATCTATCTATCTATCTAACTACATATGCATATGTATCTATCTAGAAGAACTTGACGGCAATATGACGACGCCTTAGTATTATATATTTCGATGTATTCCTTTCTTTTGAATTTATCTATATAATTTCTACTCTCGTTTTTTATACGTTTTCTTTTATATACTAGCATATCTGCCCAGACAGATATCTATATATATATAAATATGTATACATATACATCTATATATATATATATAAACATCTCTATATATATGTAAATATATATGTATATATACGTACATATATATATACTTGTACACGACATAAAGTTGAATAAACAAAATTGAACTCAATCTCAATTCTCCATATTTTTTTTTTTTTCTGGCAACTTTCAGTTGCGTGTGGCTGTGTGGGCAGGTGGGCGTGTCGCGGCATTTACTTGTTCTCGGTGACAATGCCGGCGGGCCCGCAGATGTAGAGCTGCTTGTTGGCCCGCTCGCGTATTGGCTCGAAGCCCAGCTCGTCGGTCGGGATGCCATATTGCTTGAGCTTGCACTCGTATGTCTCCAGCAGATCGTCGTGGGCCTTCCAGGCCTTGGACAGCTCGTAACGCAGATCGATGATGGTCTGGTTCTTGGTGTCGACCACATCGCTGACGGTCTTCTCCACGGCCTCCAGCTTACCGGGGAAGTCGGGGGCACACGCGGCAATCGTCCTGCGCATGATGATGCTGCGTTTCTCGTCCTCGCGCAGCAGAGCCGCAATCTTGCGCTCGAGCAGCACGTTCTTCAGGCCCGTCTTCTGTTGTAGCTCGACGATGACCTCGTTGAAGCGCGCCTTCAGATTGGCCCGCTCGCTGACCAGAGCATCGTTGCGCAGCAGCAGCGTCTCCGACTCCCACATCAGACTCTTCACCTTCTTCTCCAGTATGGTGTTGCTCTTCTTGAGGCGGGCCAGCTGCAGCTTGTCGCGCTCATAGAACTCCAGCTTGCGCTGCAGCTCCTTCAGATGGGTCTTGGCGTGCTCCAGCGGCTCCTTGAGCCGGCGACTCTCAGTGGTTGCCTCGGCGGCGATGCGATCGCTGCGATCGGCCTGGCGGCGCAGCTGCTCGATTTGCTCCTTCATGCTGCCAATGAGCGCCAGGTTGTTCAGTGTGATGTCGTTATAATAGTTCTTCATGTCGTTGAATGCCAGATCGTGATGGTCCTGCAGGTCCTTGATCTGCTGATTCTTGCGCTCCTCCACCTCGAACATCTGCGCGTTGAAGAACAGCTCGAGCTTGTTGCGCTGCTCCCTCATCTTCTCGTCATGCAGGCGATCGTTGTCCTTGCGCTCGCTCTCAAACTGCAGACGCTGCTCTCTGGATTTGGATGGGAATTTTAGAATTTTGGAATTTTGGAATTTTGAATTTGGATCATCGAATCGTCGAATTGGAGCATTGGGTACTCACAGCAGCTGCTGGTTGTAGTGCGCCTCCAGCTGGCGATGCTGCATGTCGCTCATCTCGATGCGTTCGCGCACAATGCGGCGCAGCTGGCGCTTGTCCGTCTGCAGCTCCAGCTCCTGGAGCAGATGGTGCTCCTGGGCCACCTTCAGCTGGGTCATCGCCTCGGCGCGCACCTCGCCCAGCTTGCTGTGGTTCTCGAACTGCAGATGCTTCATCTGCTGCATGATGTGCTTGGTATCGATGTCCGCCAGATCCTGCGTGGCCTCGATCTCCTTGTCCTTCTGCTGCAGCTCGAACTTGGCCTCCTCTGCGCAAGCAGATCAAAGAGATTATAGGGACAGTGATATCGACTCAGCTCTCGAGTGCTGCTTACCCAGCTGCTGGCGCGTGATCTCCCAGAAGGTGCGTATCTTGTCGCGCTCCAACTGGAAGTAGTTGCGCTCCTCCCGCTCCCGATCCATCTCGGCCTTGAGGCGCAGCGAGAACGCCTCCAGCTGATCGCGCGTCATGGCGGACGTGTCCACGCCATCGATGAGCACTGCAAAGAGGCAAACGAGAGCTTTAAACTAGCCAACGACTATTATGAGCAAATTTAATAAGAATGCAGCCCATTAATGTGCGTGTGTGTGTGCTATCTCTGCGTGTGTGTGTGTGTGTGTGTGTGTGTGTGTTTTAGGATTGCGCCTCATGCCCGCATGTGCAGAGCTGCTGCTGTAATTGGTTTGTGTAATTGGCATCGTTCACCGGCTGGTGCCGAGCCTTGCCTCCAGCTGCCTGGCGCATGTCCTCTGCCAGGTCCAGGAAGGACCAACAGCAGCCTCCATAGAAACAATTATGTGCGTTAGAGGCCGTTGCTTTGCTCACTCGTGGAAATTAAGTGCGTCTTTTTTCCGCTCACTTCACCCTCCCTCTCCCTCTCTCTCTCACTCACTCTCTTGTGTGCTTGTGTGTGTGTGTGTGTGTGTGTGTGTGTGTGGAGTCTGGGCTGCTGCAGTGGAGCATGTGGCATTGCGTTTGGGTTGCGCTTGCACAATTAAATTGTATTGAGCATGTGGCCAACATGGACGCCACTTGTCACACTCTGTTTTCCTGCTGACCAAGCCTCAGATTATCATTATTTGACAAATTGTTGTGCCGCCCAACTGACAGAGACCCACCAAACCAGCAGCCCATCGAACCACCGACCCACCGACCCAACAACCCACCGACCCACTGGCTCGCTGGCCGAGCCCAACTTTACCAGTCACATTAATTACTTACGCCGCTCCGACTTTGGTACTTAACTATCTTTATGCCATCTGCGAGGGCAATTGCACTGCGAGCATTTAACAATTTTTTTCTGCATCCAGAGTAAAAACAACTATCGGACTGGATCTACTTTGGCTTTAAGGATCAGATCTATGGCTAACGAAATTCTTCAATTCTTGATATATGTAACATATCAGTATGTCTGTTATCAGTATATCAATATATGAATAAATCAATATAACAATATATCAATATCAATACGTCAATATATCAATATATCAATATATCAATACATCAATATATCAATATAACAATATATCCGTATATCAGTATATCAATATACGAATATATGAATATAACAATATACCAATATCAATACATCAATATGTCAATATATCAGTATATCAGTACATCAGTACATCAGTACATCAGTACATCAGTACATCAGTACATCAGTACATCAGTATATCAGTATATCAGTACATCAGTACATCAGTACATCAGTACATCAGTACATCAGTACATCAGTATATCAGTATATCAGTATATCAGTATATCAGTATATCAGTATATCAGTATATCAATATATGAATATATCAATGTAACAATATACCAATATCAATACATCAATATGTCAATATATCAGTACATCAGTATATCAGTACATCAGTACATCAGTACATCAGTACATCAGTACATCAGTACATCAGTACATCAGTACATCAGTACATCAGTATATCAGTATATCAGTATATCAGTATATCAGTATATCAGTATATCAATATATGAATATATCAATGTAACAATATATCAATATCAATACATCAATATAGCAATATATCAATTCATAAATATTCAGCTGATAAGCAAACCTTAACAAAGTCCCACTTAAGTTAATAGTACCGGGCAACAAACTTGATAGACACTGGAATTTAGTCGAGCTTGCCTTCATATCAAACAACTCTGTTTGGCAGAGAAGTCAAAAATTAATTATATTAATGCATAAATCTCAGTTAATACAATAATATTGTCTCTTTGGATCTCTACTCTCTATCTCCGGAATCTCTGCCTCATCTCCAGTGTCGTTCATTTCTTCTCAGTGCTTTTGATTACATTTGAGTACATCTAATACACAAAAACATAATATTTTCCTGATCCACAATTGCATCCTAAACCCTATCTGGAAATAAGAAATGACTGAAGAAATGACTCGAAGAAGAAATGACTGAAGACCTAAGCACGACCGGCTGCCACTAATTTCACTTTCCAAGTGATAATATTCTGCTAATTTGTGATCATAGATATAAGAACATTATGTGGAGAGTGAAGTATGGAGAGTGTGCTAGCATGCCCGCTATTCTATAGTTATAATTCAGTCAAATGCAAATTCCGCTCCCTATGATCTCATTGATCTCACTCAAATGCCTTATCAACTATGTTAACTTTGGTTCCCTCTCCGAGTAAAGTTGCTTGAAGCACCTAAAATTTCAGCTCTATATTGAATTGAATGTTAATGCTTGCTCGAATCGAATATTATGTATACCTATATATGGTGTATATATAAGGGTATAGTATATATGGTATATGTATTATATAGACAGTATCTTTGAAGATCGACAAGGATCAGCTCAGTTAACACTTAGGATCGATATAGTTATCAACTCACCTGGCAACTTCTTGCCCTTTTTGCCTTTCTTACTCTTTGGTGGCTGTGAATGGAAAGTGGAAAAGTATGTTAATTCTGGGCAATGCAGAAATTCGATTTCAAAACTAAAAACATACCCGATGTGAAATGAAATGAAAATATCAAATGCAAATAAATCCAAGTCAAGGTTCAAGTGCGTGAATCGGGTCAATGCAAGTGCAGTTTTTGGGGACATGTGAAGGCGGCAGTTAGTCAAAGTAATTTAAAAGGATTTTGAATGGGAATGAATGAATCGAGTGTTGAATATACACATGTATATGGGTTGAATGTATAAATAAAGCTCTGCTTAATGTGTAATTCGATTTCCTTAGCTGGCTGCTGCGATGGGGTAACGAGCTGTTTTTTTTTTTTTTTTTCATCAGCTTCTTCTTCTGCTATGCGCAATGCATCCTCGAAAAAGGCGGCAGGCAGCCACGGGACAGGACAGCAGCGCAGGAGTACCAGGAGCAGGAGCAGGAGCAGGAGCAACAGCATTGGACGTGCAGAGGTGGCACGAGTCTGAGGCGGTGGCAACGTCGCCGTTTTAAATAATGTGATGGCGCGGCTTTCAAAACAATTTCACAACAGCTGTTGGCTTATTGCATATTTTATGACTGCAAATTATTCAAAAATTTTCGAAGCCGCGCCCGGCCCAGCCGCCAGTCGCGTCGCCTCGCTCCACGTTGTTGCTGTTGCTGTTGTTGTTGTTGGCGTTGGCAAAAGGCGTAAAATTTTCATAAATAATAATAGTATACATATACATGAATGTATATATCTGTATATATATATTTATATATATACATATATATATATATATGTATGTATATATGCAGTGGAGTGTGTGCTTGAATATACAAATTGTCGAAAATGGACAACAGCAGCGACGCGGGTTTGTTGCATGCTGCACAATTCTTTTGCCATTTAACAGCAGTAGGCAGGAGGCGCTGCAACTGAGACATAAGCATATATTTACTATATATACACACACATATATATATATATATATAGTTGTGTGTATATGTATGTGTGTGTGCAGCATGTTGTTGCAGCACAACAGCCTGGCTTGGCATGAAAAATTGAATGTGCCAATGCCTGAGCCTGAGGCTGAGGCTGAGGCTGCAGTCTCTCCTGCCTCCTGCCCCGCCTATAAGGCGGGGCCAAAGGGCTGCTATCAGCGCTGCATCAAACAACGGACAACAGGACAATGTTTAAAGATGCTGCAGTAAGTACTGCTACAGCTGCTACTCCTGCTGCTGCTCCTGCTCCCCTCTGTTGCTGCTCCTACTGTATTCCAGTTGCTCAACATCGTTTATTATACGCCAAAGAGATCTTTGCTCTGCTTTTAGCTTACCATTTTGTAGAGTTCCCAGAGATTTGCCCTTATCCAGCGAGAATGTGCTGCAAGCTCTTTGAATTTTGATTATAATTTGTGCCGGGCCGAGCAGTTAATTTTGTTATTGTTTGTTATTATTGCTGCTGTTGTTGTTGTTGTTGCTATTGTCGTTGGTTGCCCAGAGTTACCAGCTGGGATTGTCGGCGCTTTAACAAATGCCAAGCAACCGCTTGGCCAGCCAATAAATTTCACAAATATATTTATATTTATGCATATAAATATATATTTATATATTTTCAATCTGTGTCTAAGTGTGAATTTGTGATATTCGGAAAAACGACTGAGCAACTATAGCATGCTATATAGCCTTAAGTACTTGTATATACTTAAATGTTTAGTTTTCATTGATATTTTTGTATTTTCTTAAATCAAGCTGTTGCTCATTTTCTATGAGAGAGAGAGGGAGGGAGAGGGAGATAAATAGATAGAAGCGAGACTGAGAGAGTGACTGGAGAGAGAGTGAGGGAGATGTATTGCTAGATAGATTTATCGATAGATCGAGAGGGACACCGAGATAGAGAGATAGAATCGAGAAAGAGAGCGAAAGAGAGAGGGTGAAAAGAGAAAGAAAAAAGAAGAAAGAAAAAAGAAGAAAGATAAAAGAGAATGAAATGCAGAAACAGAGACTGGGAGATAAAAACAGAGCGATAACTAGACAGACACAGACAGATAGAAAGAGTGAGAGAAAGGGAGAAAGAGAGAGAAGGGGAAAGAAAGTGCGAGAGATGGAAAGAAGAAAGAAAACATAGAGTAAAAGGGAGAAGTAGACACAGGGAGAGAAGTAGGCAGACAAAGAAGGAGAGAGTAAGAGAGAAAGAAAGAAAGAGAGAGAGAGAGAGAGAGAAGAAAAGAGACAATGGGACAGGTAAAGAGACATAGATAGAAGCATAGACAGAATCGAAAGAGATATCGTATAAAGAAAGACCTGAAAATAATATTAAAAAATAAATTAATTAAACTAATAATATTATCAGTTCACTTACTTTATTCTGTTTTCGATTAGACTACCTATATGCATGAATATATTATAATTTCTAATTAAAAACGAAGCTTTCCTTTCTTGCCAAAACTTCTAGCCGCTGGCCGAGCTCATGCATATACCCCAAGGCAGAAATTGAGTTTAGAGGGTATGGCAAATAAGAAGCGAACGACAATGAAATTGAAATACAAGCTGATGAAGTTAACGGCTGGCCGATAAAGTTGCCAGCAACCGGGTCGAGTCGCATAAATATCTCGCCATAAGTAACCCCGGCAATGCAGTCGAGCCTTGCGTTGCACGCTCACTTGCCTCCGCCGTGCTGTCCGGCTGTCCGGCTGTCCGGCTGTCCGGCTGTCCGGCTAGCCCCTGAACCCTAACCCCATGAACCCAATGGCCTCTGCTCTGTGGCACTTAAGTAAATAGCTTGGCAGTTTGGAGCACTTTAAATGCATTCACTTTAAAACTGAGACAGAGCGAGAGAGAGAGAGAGAGAGAGAGAGAGAGAGAGAGAGAGAGAGAGAGAGTGGGAGAGTGAGGGAGCTGCTGCAGTCATTGTGGCTCTTGTTGTTGTTGCTTGGCAGATTTTAGACTTTGGCAATTAGGTTATAATCAGGCTAAGGCGCATAATTATTTTGCGTGTCTTTCTCAGCTTCAGCTCTTTCTTTATGCTTTCTTTTAATGCTAGTCAGGATGCAGACTGTTTTAATTAATTGAATCTGCTCAGTGGGCAAGTTTCCAGCTAATCAAAGCTCACTTTGATTAGATCACCTTGGGCGCAGCATCAAATTTCTCACCTACATTTGCCTATGCCGAAAGGAAGTCTTTAAGTGCAGACGAAACTTTTGGCGCGAATATTTCACGCCTTAATTTGTGGCAGTGGCAGGAGCTGGAGCAGGAGTAGTGGCAGTGGCAGGAGCTGGAGCAGGAGCAGCGAGTCGTCGAGTTGTTGTTTGAAAATTATGCGCCGCTTGCTTGGCGGTTGTGTAAACAGAAGCCCCAAATAAAAAGGATATTGCCGGCTGTTGGGGCTTGCCGGTTAAATGCTTTAATTGAAATTAATAACCGCAGCCCAGCATTGAGCAGTTGAGCAGCAGTCGTTGCCTTTTCCAGCTAACTTGGCTAGCAGGCCAGCCACACAGCCACACAGCTAGTCAGCCAACTCGACTGCCTGAGAATTTTCAATTGTTTTCATTAAAAGTCAATTTTAGGGGGGCGCAAGGCGAAGGGCGAAGGGCGATTCAACCCTTCGCAGAGCGGGGCTAAAATGCCTTGCGGGTGCTGGGGGGGCTGGGGGCGGCTGCTGAGGCTCGTGCCGCATAATTTTGTATTGGCAGATGCTGTTGGCCATGGACCATTGCACGGCTAACGGTAACGTTAACGGTAACGGTAACGGCTGCCAAGGGTCAGGCGGCTGCTGCCTGGGCGCTGATTGAAAGTGAAAGTAAACGCTGCTCTCACATAGAGACAGACACTGACACACACACACACACACACACACACACACAGACACAGACACACACACAGACTCGCACCGTAAGACATATTTCAAATGCTATTATGAAATGTGCACAGCTTTCAGCTCTTCGTCGCGCAACGTGTTGAGGCTAGCTTTAAGGCTGCCAAATTCGAGTCGAGTTAAATTATAAATATTTGTTCATCTTAGCAGCAGTTTTTTAAATTATAAAGAATGTAGCCCTACTTAAAAATAAAGTTGTCAAAAAGGAAAATCTTTTAATTTATTTGAAAATTAAAATTGGTCCAATGCAAAATTTTTAGCATATTATTAAACAGAGTGCAATTTTCATTTGTAGGGCAGCTAAATTTAAAATATAGATATATACAAAAAAAAAAATGTTTAATTTATTTTTTAAATCTACATAAATATTCATAAAAATATTTATAAATTTGTATACATCATTAATTATAATTCTTTAGCAGGCGTTATTAATTACTAACGCCTGTTCAAGAATTATAGTTTAGGCATTTTTTACAAATTTTTATATATATTAATATATTTATTTTCTTCTTAATTTTCATTAATTTTTAAAATTATAAAATTTTATAAAAATGAGTTATAACGAAAATATTAAAATTTATTGGAATACATTTTTACGAATTTCGAAAAGGGTTTTTAATATTTTGAATACATCTTTATAAATTGTGAATAAATGTGTTATTATCGTCATTGCTTCAAAAGTCTACTTGTGCGAATCCCCTAGGTCATTTTTTGTTTTTTAATTATCTTGAACTTCTCTGGAGCAATGCCTATGTGTTGAACAAACTTTGAAAAATATTGAACAAGCTCTTCAAAAAAATTAAAAAATGTTATTCATAAAAAATTGTAGAAATTTAAAAAGCTTTTGTACATTTTGTACATATATCTATATCTATATATATATATATATTCAATATATATATATATATATATATATATATATATATATATATATATATATATATATATATATATTGTAGACACTTTTCATTTAGAAGCCGAGCGAAGTAATCATCGAAGCTGTGGCCTATTTTGAGTTTAAAAACAGATCGTTCAGAAATAGGGCTATCGATAAATTTAATATTAAATTATTTTTTATTTTTTATTTTGTATATTCTTTATAATAAAAAAAAAAACAATATATTAAACAGAAATGATGTTTTCTGTATTCAATAGTTATAGCTGTAAAGTAGATGCTGATATGCTCAGATAGTTTCTAGTTAGCTTAACTAAAGCCGATCTATAGCAGTTATTTTAGAGCTTGCTGCTTTAGGTAGGCTTTAGGTTAGCGTTGGGTTAGCCTTAGATTAGCTTTGGGTTAGCTTTAGGTTAAGCATAAGCTTGATCTCATTACAGGGATAGTGATTGTCGCTGTCTCTGTCTCTGTCTCTCTCTCTCTCTCTCTCTCTCTCTCTCTCTCTCTCTCTCTCTCTCTCTCTCTCTATGTGTGAATGACTGAGCTTGTAGCTGCTGCACTCTGTGTGTGTGTGTGTGTGTGTGTGCAAGACAGAGAGAGGAAGATATAGAGAGGATGACAGAGATAGGGAGACAGAGGCCAAATGCGGTTGCAGAAGTTATTTGCTGTGTTATTTTCAGAACAGCTTCCGCCTTGCTCAGCAGCGGACATCCTGTTGTGTTTGAGAGTTAAATTTGCGCAGCTGCTTAGACTAACGGACCAACAGCTCTTGTCTTTGCATTCTAGCCACAGCCACAGCTACAGCTACAGCCACGACCACGACCACCAGTCAGACCCTTCCAACCAAGCAGCCACCGCAAACCAAAAAATAAAATTATAATAATAAATAAATAAAAATACTTAAAGTTAGTTTTCAGCGTTTACTAAATTTATAGTTTGACTTTCTTATATTTATTAATAAAAAAAAAAATATATATATATATATTTAAAAAAATGTAAGGTCTGAACTCGAATTACATTTAATTCATGCTCAATATGAAAAAGTTCATCTATTTATTTATAGCCAGTATATACTGTAACAGTGGAAACGGCTTTGATAATAAACTTTACTTGCCTGAATAACTTCTTAGTTTCAGTCTTAGAATATAAATCATCTGTAGAATCAGAATCAATCAGAAATAAGAATGAAATGCAAATCAGAAATGAATATAAATTCCTTTTCGATTATAAATTTAAATAAGGGATAATTATACTTCAAATAACATATACTTATTGAATCTGTCGATAAATTATTATTTTTATTTTCTATTAACAATTTAGAATATCTTTTTTATACATATAAATTAAAGACAACTCAACGCTAAAATCTCATTTTATATTCATTTCAATCTGAACAAGATCTAGTTTACTGTCTATATTCTAGTTCATTACAAATTTTCAGTCACCTGTCATCAAAAAAATAGCAAACGAAGCCAATTTACTCTGTTCACAGTGTGAAGAAGAAAATCAAACAAGGATATTGTAATAAATATATTTGTCCTTTATTTGTGGAGTTTTATATGGGTTTTGTTTTAATGTCATATTCGTTTTCTTGTGGTAGTATTATTTATATATATATATATTTATATATGTCTGTCGTATATAACTATGTAATTATGTATATATATATATATAAATATGTATTTAAGTTTTATATTTGATTTAATACAGTTATTTTCGATTTACGCTAACGGTAATTAATTATAATCGTATTTATGTATATGTAACATATATGTATTTTGCATGTATGTAACAATATATATGTATGTATGTATATATGTATGTATGTATATATATACAGAGGTGGTCAAAAGTAATTACACACCGAGCTTTTTTCTGCATGCTCAGCTTTAAAAG